ATTACTGAAAGGTACATGGAGTTTGCCTGTTTCATTTTGGATCAATTCTACATATTTAATACGAACAATGAAAAAAAAAACAGAATAGAATAAACAATAACTAACTAACAGACTGAACAATTTTCCCAACTCACCAACAGTAAGAATCTCGTAAAGTAAGACGCCATAACTCCAGCTAGAACAACAACAACAAAAAAAACAGCGTCAGATCTAAAATGATAAGCACAAGGCGCGTGCACCGGCTTTCTAAAAGCTACAGTCACCTTTGAACTCGTAGAATGCCACCTGCACATAACGGCTTGGAAACTAAAATTTCGAGGACGTTTTTGGACTTTTTATATTTAGGGCATGAATTTTTCGTCATTTTAGGCCATGGAACCTAAAAATGAGCCTAGCTAGCCGTAAAAAGGGGCAATAGGGAGGCAATAGGCCCTAGCCGGCATGATCACATGCTGTTTACGGAAAATTCCCTCATTCATGTCAGGAAATTCTGTATTTTAAAGCCTCCCCTAGGGCATGACTCAGCAATTGAGGCCATTTCTGCTACGTTTTCAATGTTGGTTAGCATGCAAGGATTTTTCCCATGCCTATCGTCAATGATTTGCTCACTGATAATAGAGGGGGTGGCCCCAGAGTGGTTTTGCATTGAAATTGGCATGCAACAGAATTTCGCATGCCCTGTAAGCATAATTTGAGGTTCCGTGACCTTCTCACCCAGGCCGCGAGAAGCCTAGGTTCTAGTAATAAGTAATTCATACCCAGCAAAATCTCTTGCATGCCGGGCATGCCAAATTTTCTGGCATGCCCGGCATGCCAAATTCTCTGGAATGCCCGGCGTGCCATAATCTGGGTCATGCCGGGCATGACAAAATCGGTCTCTGGCATGCTCTCAACGCACGTTATAATTCCTTGAATCTACAGATATTTTAAGCCTGGCTAAAAAATAAAAAAAAACTAAACAGATCACAGTGCTTATCTTTTGATGTACGGTTACACGATGACGTCATTGCTATTCCTTTCATTTTCATAGATTTGGTTGTCCCAGCAACGTTTAAAGAACAAAAGCTCTAATTTTCACAAGAAAGTAAAACCACGAGGGATTCTGCCGTAGTAATAAAACAGCGTAATCGTGGAGATGACCTGTTGGGGGATTGTAAAAACTCCTTACCCCTTTTAATGAGTCTTTAATAGGATTCCCATTTCACATTGCCAATAAAATGGAATTGACTGAAATCAGTAAAAATAGAGACAGAGACTATTTTCATTGTATAATACAATGCATCTATGTTCCATGAAAGCTTTTAAAAATACAAGGTTATAGAATATCTTTCAAAGTTCATTACAAACTGAGCTAAGCCCCAAAATCACTGTTCATTATTCAGTATTAAAATTATGATGTTTGACAATGCAATGTGCTTGAATATAACGTTGCAATTAAAATCTCTCTAACGCAATTTTCCCTACGTTAGAAAAGCTGTTTTTATCTTGTTTCACATTTTGATAAGGAGTCTGAGTTCCTCTTTCTTGTTTTGTAGGCTTGCCAGGGATTAATGTTTTTGTGTCATTACCAGTGTCTGTGTTCTTTGTTTTTAACTCAAAGTACGTCAGTAATAACTGACAGTATCAAAGAATTGCTCTCTAGAAAAGTAATTATCTCCTCTTCATGTCTGGAAGTTACCTGTAACAAAAAAGAAATGGAATGTTAAGACATGCAAGGGCAATATGAAAAAAGAAAAAGAAATAGAACCTGTAGAGCTCAGCTTGCTCTTAACATATTTTCATATTGGCTTGTTGAGTCTGTTCAAGGTCGCAACTAATTAGGGCCTGTTTACATGGAGTGGGGGACCCCGGTCTAGTGGGGTTGGTTTCTTTTGTTTTCACGCTCTGGAGGACACAAAACAAAAGAAACGTACCCCACTAGGCTGGGGTCCCCCACTCCATGTAAACAGGGTCTCATTGTCTGAGGCTAATTTCACAAGAGTGTGCAATTGAGATAAATGCATGCTAAATAAATTGAAAGAAACGTGGTTTCACATTAGCCAATTTACATTGCGTTGTTCGATGATGTTTACACGCTCTACTACTGCTTTGCAAGTCAAGATTATACCGAGTTTGACTGACACTTAATTGAACAACAGTTTCATTTTTAAGCAGGTAAGGTGTACACCCATATAAAGCCGGAATATGTAAATGAAACTCAGCGAAAACTTTTTCGCATCTTTTTGTGGCGATTTTCTCCCACGGCCCGTCAACTGATTAGGGGTTGCGAAGAAAAAATAACTTAGGACCAGAGGTTAAAGCCTGTCCGGTTACATCATTTCGTATGTTACCTAGAGTTCTAATAAATAGGTCATAAAATAGGATTTAAGGAGAGCGAATTTGTTTCTCAATCGGTGTATAAAAAAGTGAAGCTATCAAATGAGAAGTTTATAGAGTATTAAAATTATCAAATTAAAAGCTCATATAATAAGGAAAATTCCTATACCAAAACAATGCTAGTGACATTAAATTGATCAGATAAAATTCTCAGAAAATATGTCGAATAAAAGCCTCATTGTTTGCTTTTGTTTTTGCGTAAAGGTAAATTTTTCGGCCCACAAAGCAAAGTTGAAAAAGCGACTAAATCTTAGTTTTTTACATTGAACATGTTTATTAGCTTAGTTTTCGTCCGTTTTAAAAGCTTTATAACCCAATCATAATTTTCGGGTTAAAATAGTACAAAATCATTTCAAAAACCATGTTCATTTAAGGTAGAGCCGGCAAACGTGAACATTTTGTAATTCAAAAGTCGGACCCAGCAGGTTGTTTAAGCTTAGAATTATTTGCATTTTAGCGTCCTATAAATTTACCAGAATCGCCTCTCAGAGGCTTACTGTAGCAAAGCATTTTGTAATACACTCGTAGACAAGCAATGTAAGCCTTAAGTCTTTGCTTGGATGAGATGTCCAAAAGAAAAATTAGTTTTGTGGACCTAAACGCACATTCACAGACTGCTTGTATTTAGTTGTTTACAACTTTGCATTGACACCTGCAACATGTTCATTTTTTTAAAACGAAATCCAAATCTGATTTTGGCATTTGATTTACGGGTATTTTATTTTGTCTCCAAAAGTGATTGTAATATCCGTTTGATTGTCTTTCAAACAACAGTCAAACTATGCAGCAAAAATAAGTAACTTTACCAGTACAGTGAAAAAATATGACCGTAGGTGCCAAAAATAATTATACTCGAGCTATAAAATTAGATCTGACTTTTTTTAGCTTTGGTTTCTATATTTTTGAAGTTTTCTCTAGTCTTCTTAGCAGCAGAAGAAGATTACAAGACATACAAACACAAACAATCCGAAGTGAACGAGTTGACAACCACTTATGCCGGAGTTCTTAGGCATGCTAAACAGCAAGATAAACTGAATGCCAAAAGGCTAATTCACGGGATTTGTTCGTTATTCAGGCTTTTTCTTTACCAAATTAATACTAAATTTGTACTTACAGTCTCTCGCAGAATCCATTTCTTGTCCAGCATTCACCAACATCTCAACCATACACCGCAGAAAAAAAAGACAAACAAGTGCGAAGAGACATGACGACATCGTAACGCCACAACTGCCACGCTACAACAAACTAGATTCATCGTCATCCGAAAACACTTCTGCGGAAATTCGGCCGATTTCGTGCGTGCTCGTGGTATCTTCGGATGGCGCAGATGACGTTGCTCAAAGGACTATCGTCAGCAAGGAGTAAAACAGTTTGCGAGATTCGCATAGCCGAGAAGAAGCGCACTGAAAAACTAAGCAAAATCTCTCTGAGAAGGCAGTCCAAATTCACCAAATCAGAACGTCTTTGCAGTATTAACGTCGTACTCTCGTACTGACTTGAACGACCTGGTAAGCTTAATTTTCACCAGTCTTTTAATGCTGTTGACCGGGAAACATTCCGACGCGATAAAACTTAAGCATGGATAAGTTTATACTGAGAAGATTTGTTATCTTATTGTTTAAGACGCTTTTCCGCGATCAAATTTAAATCTGGACCCAGAAATGTCAGTATCGGTTTGAAATAAAAGGATTAATCTTTGATTGCAAGTTAAATATTCTATTTTATGCATGAATAGTGTTGTTTTGTTGTGCTTTTTATTTATAAATCCAGGCTTCTGTCTTCAGTTTTGCCAGTCGATCCCGTGATACACATTGTGACAAACATGACTTTTTCTGTTATAATCTGCATTTATTGCCAGGCATGAAACCTGTAACTTCAAGCTCCCTAAGATATATTTGGCGATTATATGTGATTCTCAGGATATGATGCTGAAGCGAACATCAAAATCAGTCTCGCTGGGCATGCCAATTTCTTGCCTGGCATGCCGGGCATGCCAAACCAACTGTCTTCACCATCGGCATGCCCGGCATGCAAAAAACTGGGAATGAATTATCAACCCGGCGAGAGATCTGCGACCTAAGTCTAGCTGGGTCAATTTTGGGCTGCGAGGGCATGAACCCATTTTTTCCATGCCTATGAGATGTTATTTCTAAGTACCAATGTCCCCTTGAATTTTGTCATGCCTAAATATATAAAATTTTCCCTCTCTCATTAATCCTCAGACTGGATGCAATTTTTACGCTCGCTAGGCATGTTCAACTGAAAATCATGCCCGTACCCTTATTCAAAACAAAATCATATCAAATTTTAGTTTCCAAGCCGTTACAAGCAGCACAAGTAAATCTTTTTCATTTTGTTGAGATGATCATCGTTAAAGTTTTTTGAACGTAAAATTCGTTACATTTGTTTTAGGTACATTGACTAAAACGAAACATAAGACAGCCTTGTGCATGACTCAACTGAAAAAAAAAACATTCTCCTTGCTTAACGTAAAAAAAAGAAGCAATGTTTACTTCCATACAAAAAGTACTTACACGTCACTCTGTGTAGTGTATGTACCATACATCAATGATTCATAAGCAGTCCATTTCACCGGCAGACGCCCCTTAGAAAACAATCAAATTAATATCAATCTCAAGTTTTTTTTACAATTTAATTTCATTTCCGCCCTATGTTGATGTTTTGGTTGTTTAAATTACCTTCCCAGCAACCTTTTAAACGCCGCTAACTTAAAAGGATACTGGAGATGTCAAAGTAGCAATTTGAACTCCCGACTACAGATCCCAAGCAAGTTTGTGATAACACCCAACATGATTTAAAATCAAACTGTGTGCTTCGTTGAACTCACGCGACTCGTTTTGTTGTAGATGTCTTCCAAATGTACATCCCTTGCCATTCCAAAATCTGTCACCTTACAGTTTTCTCCTTCACCAACCAGAACATTTCTCGCTGCCAAGTCACGATGGATAATCTACAAGACATTTTTTTTATAAGGGCTTTTTCAAAATTTGGATTAAAATAATTAAGTCTTTTTTAACCTATCCTTAGAGCCCCTTCACATGTGCCCGGTTTCCGAGATCTTGCTTTACCCCTAAATCCTTTGTAATAATGTATTCTCGATGAGTTTAAACAAGAGGGTGGGCTGGCTCGACTCCAAAAATCTCGGTTTTTCCAACTTCACACCCACATGATAGGTATCTCTGGACAACTTCGTTTACGTAACTTCTGATAGAGATATTCATTATCTGAGCTTATTATATAGACACGAGTGTTTTACTGGAAAATATACCACTCGTAAAATTCATAGAAACTACTTCCGGGACCCGAGTGCTTTATTGTCCATAATCTCACACGTGAGTTTATCGATGACGTAATTTCGGTAATTTCCCTTCAACATTTGTAGGCGTCTTGCGTCTTTGAATTTTACTTCCACATTTTTCAAAGCGTTGCTTATATTTTGTCATTGTAGAGCCCTATTCAGCTCAGTGTGTTATTTCTCAAGATTATTGTAACCAATGTCATATTGCTGTACTGTAAATTTGAGCCTTCGCAATTACTTTTTGGCGAATAACAATCTATTATTTTATCGATGTCTTTTTGTCTATATAAATAAAAAGTACATTACAAGGCGGCGTGAAGATATGAATTTTATTTTCTCGTGGTAAAAACAATATTTTACTCCCTCGCTGCGCTCGTTCGTAAAATTGTATTGTTTTGCCACTCGAAAATAAAATTCATATCTTGGCTCCACCGTGTAATATCCTCTATATATGTTTTGTTTAGAATAAACCTTTGTCACGCGGTGGCCATTTTGTCCCTGGAGATTAAAAAAGCTTTGTATTTGCACGGCTAGCCTCGCAGTCAGAAAGAGGCTTGCTGTGCAAGTACTAAGCTTTTTTAAAGGGACTGGTTCACGATAATGCGCATGCGCGCCGTTTGTCTCTTCAGAATAAATTTGTCGGGTCAACACTAAATTCGAAATCGCCATTACCGGTACAATCATTGAAAGTCCTTCGTTTTATTCGGACATCCGTCGCTTTGGCTGGTCTAGTTATACTTCGGTAGTGGTGATTAACGTGTGGTTGTTTCGTTTGACTGGTTACGTTTTAAGGTTGCTCGATATCGTTTTTCAGGGCCAATACCTCCCAAGTTTGAGCATAAACTACGTCGTTATAAACAAAGTTTTGGAAAAATTGCCACCACAGTTGTTTTAAATAAAGATGAAAATTTGTTATGATCAGGGTTGCAACGGCATTGGGGTTGTCATAGCAACGAAATGACGCTATTGCCTATTTTACTTGCAGCAGTATATCTCGGCACTGGGAACTGTTCTTCCAAAATCATTCACGGGAGCTTTTTCCTCCAATAGCGGCCTCGATGTTCGTGAAGTTTAAGCGAAATCTGTAAGAGCGTTATCGAGATATTTTGGAATGAAGTTTTTGTGGTTAGAAACAGAGTACAAAAATAGACAATATTGTTGTTTGGTCGTTATCTGTACAAAATGAAGCGCCGTTTACATGCAATTTCACCTCATAGTAGTTTCAATCTTTTTAAAAACGTGTGTGGAAGATCATGGAGATAGCTCCAGCCGATTGCTAGAAAGAAGGGTTTTATTAGCATGTATCGAAGCGCTCTTGTTAGCGGTTTTGTAAACATTTTGGTCTTCTTTAACAAATTAGCAAATAGTTTTTAAACCGCTCGATAGATTTTTTTAAAAATTTAAGATTCTTGAGATTAACCTTTCTTTCATATGACCTTTTAGTTTCAAGATTATTGATACATTGTAAGGCAGTAAAATAAGGGCTACAATTCGTTACTTTTTTATCGGAAGTTTCGTTATTACAAGTGAAAGCCTCTCATTATTCAAGGCATTGTCTCCAAGGTTCATTTTTCACGTGAGCTAGCTATTGTTATGCGCGAAAATATGAAACTTGGAGACAATACCCTGAGTAATGAGAGGCTCACATTTGTAAACACAAAATTTCTGCCAAAATATTGGCGAATTGTAGCCCTTATTTTATTTTATTTTTATTTTATTATTTTCCCACACACAATGAATTACAAGCAGAATAAAAACGATAATAAATAGGTTAACTAACATTAAATTTAAAATTTGTGCATTACTTGGGAGGAGTGACTGTGGCGGGGAAATCTCCGAGAAGCCGAGCTTATGAGGAATAGAGATTTCCCTTATTTTACTGCTTTGCAATATATCAATAACCTTGAAACTAAAAGGTCATAGAAAAGGAAGGTTAATCTCAAGAATCCTAAATTTTTAAAAAAATCTATCAAGCGGTTTAAAAATTATTCGCTAATTTGTTAAAGTAGACCAAAATGGCCTTGAAACACTGTATCGAGCCACCTTAAGAAGACGCTAAAAATAATGTTTTGATCATGGAGGTTCAGAAGAGCATCGTGGCTGTCCGGCAACAGGACGTTCTCAAGAGTCTTTGGAGATAGAGAAGTTTAGCCTATCGATCTGGTATGGTTCTAGGAGTAGTGTGATTTGATTTTTGACTCCGACCTGTAGTTATACCGCAACAGGCCGCGCGATCTTCACCGATCTGGTACTCTTGAAATGTTCCTTGTATCTTTGCTTTACGATCGTATATGTTTAAGATTGATGTTTTTAAAATGAATCATTGCCTGAGTATTCTGTGTATAATCTAGTTTCCTTATGTGTGCTACTCGATAACATTTGTTTTGCGGAACACTGACCCGATGCAACGCGAATAAATTTGTTCATTTGCTGATAAGCATTTGAAATTTATGCTCAATTAAAGGGATAATCTTTATACTCATACGTTGTACGTTTTTGTCACCGGTCAGGTGCTATTTGTAGGTATTTCTGGATTTATATAAGGCGAACTGAGAGAACAGTAATAAGATGTTTGTTTACAAATTTTGTTAGCGTGGGTACGACCTCGTAAAAATACACGTTGGTAAATGTTTGTTTCAAAGCAGGACAGGGCTGTACATCTTACTCTTATCGGCTGCAACGTATGTCTGAGGAGTAGCAAAGAATAAACTTGAATTATGGGGATAAATAAAATCAAACCAAATGCCCGGAAATACTCTCGCGTCGCGAACAATTAATTTGAATTTTGTAAATTTACTTGCATGCATCTAACTCGCTTCCGATTGGTTGAAAAACAATCAGCTACTGTCAGAACTCACACATGCGCATTATCGTGAACCAGTCCCTTTAGTCTCTTGAGACAACTATGGCCGCCGCGTGGCAAAGACTAAATTTTAAGCTTCAAAGCCTTTGGTGCTCAATCTTATGTTCCATAAAGGTTTATTTGCTGCTAAATGTTAGTAATATCTTACAGTTCCAATAACAGTTCTCAATTTCAAATTATTTCTTCTAGTTTAAATCACATTTAAAACGAACCTTTTTTGAGGATAAGTAACACATTCCATCTGCGACCTGCCAAGCGAATTTCATTAACTGTTCTGCTGTAAGATTGGTCTGTGGCTTCATATCCGGGTCCTTAAAGTACGTGTCGTTCAGTCCTCGACTCTTCCTCAAGTAGCCCAGTAGGTCACCATACGGTACATACTCAATAAGAACCAACAACGGCTCTATATGGAAGCCAATATTAAGTTATAAAAATCTTTAAGCCTGAGTTTCCACATATGACATATCCGATTTACTCTCCGAGCGAATATTTATGAGTTTGTTCGCACGAAGGGACATAGAATGAATTTAGTACCTTTCAATGAAGATGATGTGAACCGCGACAATTAATACAAAATCAAAATGGAGGTATGATCATCGCAGTTTTGATGCAATTAAGGAAATGGAAAAGAAGCCAGAAAATAAAAAGCCCTGAATTACAGTGAAACACCGCTTTATAGACATCCGCTTAATACAGACACTTCATTATTACGGACAGTTTGCTTCGTCTCTGGGGAAAGAAAGCCCTTATATTTTCCCTAAATTCAACCCGCTTAATACAGACACCCCGTCATTACGGACACTCTTTTGGGTCCGCTAAGTGTCCGTATAAACAAGGTTTCACTGCGAAAACAATGACATTGCATTAGAGCGGAGCATGAGATGGTCATATCTTCATTTGGAAATCAATATGCTGACATTTCTATTAGTTTACAAGTAAGCTATTAAAGTTATCTACTTAAACCCTTAGATGGAATGTGGAATTTTCTCGTTGTTCAACTCAGTGATATATCCATTCTAGTATTTTCTGCCTATTAAATTGTTCCATATAGCAAACATCACAGAGGCCATATATTGGTGTTCCAAACCAACCTAGTTCTGTGGAAATAATTGAATACTTTTGTTGCGTCAACGTTTCGTTTTATTCCAATGAACGCGCACCAATAACTTCTATCATTCTAATCATTTGCAGTACAGTCATCACTACGAAAACTTATATGTCACAAATTTCAAGAAACTCCCTTCACACATTCCTTACCGGTTTCTGAGACGCAACCCAGCAGCTTGATCACATGGGGATGAGGTTTTAGCTTTTTCATCAACTCAAGTTCTGACAGAAGGTCCTTTTTATCTGAGGTTGGAGCATTTGCTAAAGGAAGCACCCAAAAAAGTTACTTAAGAGCGACTTTCTGTAAATACCACGGATAAGTGTGCAAGATGGAAAAATCGGAATCCCCCAAACTTTGTCACAACAAAGCCCTTTGAAAAATATTTTAGAAAATATAAGACTCAGTTCGTTTGACTTAATATTTTCCACAATAATCAATTTTTTTCATTTTCACCTTCGAACCCTAAAGGACGTCTGAGGGGAGGCTAAAAATGTGCTTGATACCCTCGCTTCTTGAATGGAAACGTTAACTAATACCAGGACTTTTCTTGTTAAAAAATTTCAAGATCCTTCCTTTCTATCTAAACGTTGTTACAATTTCAAAGGATTTCAATCTGATTTTTTTACATTTTTTTCAAAATTACCCTCTAAATCAGCATTATCGCGACCATCAATTTTGCCATTCTTCAACGGCGAAAATCTCTTCCTGGTACATGGCTTTCATTAGAAAAATGGTATTCCAGAGAAAGAGCAATGCTTCCCCCTATCAATCTGTGAAATAAAATTCTGGGGCAATTCAAACTACGAGTTTTTACAACTGAAAACATTTACGGTACTCGCGTGATTTACGACCTTTGAACTTGCACTTGTATTGATGAATACAAGCGAGAACTTAAATAGCACTTGAAACGCTGGCGCACTTCGCCCCTTTTCCGCCAGTTTAAACACCAAAAGCGATTCTAGATTTCACAGTGGGAAATTTTCAAAAGGAAAAGCAACTTTATTGTGCGAAAGTGAGCTATGAATATACTACTTGACTACACTTCCCTTACGTGCGTATTTGTTTACTTTTACCGTATTTGTAACAGGTATCATTTATGTACAAAACACAAAACGGCGTTAGTGTCAGTAGCTATTCTACTAGAAACACATATCTCGCAATAACCCTCGCGAAATTCGGTTTGGTAACGTCACTCAAGTTAAGCCCTGTCGGTCGGGGTTACGAACTGGATGGGTGAACAAAAGCAAATATCGTCTTAAAGGTCCATACGTTGTTCTTTCTTTTCTTCTTCTTTTTTGCGTGTTATGTGGTGTCATTGTTAACAGTGTTTGAAAAGCAGATTGAGCATTGTTTCGGCGTCCGGATTTTGAAAAAGACAAAAACAAAGAACAAAGTTCGCCTGAAAATTATTATTCTCCGGGCCGTAATACAGAGGTGAAACAGACTTTGATCTATATATCGGCGGGGAAACCGGCAAACTAAGAAATCAGTCTGAGTTTTCGACAGTATAAAACGATCATAATGCCTCTGATTCCAATCTCCTGTTCCTCTGTCTCTTGTTGTCGGCGTTGCCTTCGCTCTGCTAAGCGAGAAAGGACCAGAAAGCGATGCTCCTTCTGCTTCGCGGTTTCTTGTTGACGTCTTCTCCTTCGTTGTTCACGCTGAATTTGAAGTTGGCCTTCTCGCTCCAGAGGAGTTTCGGTAATAACTCTTCCAGGGCGAGGATTTGGAGCCACTTGTTGTGCTTATGTGTCGATTGCAATAACTTGAAAACTCTGTTTCACGCGCCTTGGTAATCGGCGGCGAAGGGTGTGTTCCTTTCGGCGAATCGGAAAACGGATTTTTGATCTTAGATTTGCCAGATTTCGCGGTCGAAAGGAACGTGAAATCCGAAATTGGATTTGTAACCTTGGTAACCTTTCGCCAACGCGTACAATATGCACGACAGCCTCTCAAGAAATGACGTGTTTTTTACTGTTTGACAAATTATGCGATTATACCGTGCAGAATTTAGTGGTCAGCAGTTCGAATAGCGACGATGGAACATATAAAACAGACAAAGAAAGAAGCGCATTAAAATTGAAAATTATCTAAAGAATGTCGGCCAGTTTGATCCAGTTGCATAGCTCAGATTTTTTTATGTAACACGATCGAGTGCCTGTCGCGTCTACAAGCGAGTTTATGGTTAAATAGCAGTTCACTTGTTACCTTTACTTATTTCTGATTTCAAGCAATCTTTAGAGACAAATGGTTAGTATATGGATATTTTAATGTACCAGGAACAATCTTCTCGTGTTTTCAGATGTTTTGCGGCAAATGGCAGCAACGAGGAAACTCTACGGCCTCTATGGGAATACTTCAACTGGAAATACCGCTGGATCATCTGACTAATTTCGGATCCACTGTGAATGGAACAGCGTGGATCACTAATCCGTTAATCTGGATTTGGATTCTTCGGATTTCAAATCCAATGAATCCTTTTTCAAAAAGGATTCACCAGATCAAAAATCCGGATTTGGATTTGCCGAAAGGAACGCGAAATCCGTTCTTAGATCTAAAATCCGTTTTTGGATTCACCGAAAGGAACACACCCGAAGTCTATGTTGCCTGGAAACGCAAAATGCTCCATGACGTCACTGGCGCCTACAAGCATATATTCAGAGAAAGATTTATTTTAATATTGCGCCTCGAATTTGGCAGCTGGCTAAGACCACGCGCGGTTAGCAGACTGCGCGCGCGCTTCGCGCGCGACAAGAGTATAAAGTCGCTACGCTCGGAATAAAAGGCTCTCATTTCTCACGAAACAAATCGTTAAAGCTATAAAAAAGGGAAACATTTTGACCTACCTCACATTTTTTGACAACAGACCCGTGCGTGACAAAGAACTTTGAGACCCAGGTTACACCGCGAAGACAGATACCATTCTGAAAAAGAAACTCACGCGGCACCTTCTGTAACTATAAAAGCGAAACATGTAAATAATCAAAATCCTTAGTTTCATTGACTCATCTGCTAGAGCGACCCTGAAAACGTAACATCAAAAAAATATTTTCCACAAGAGACTAGGAAGTGTTAGGACCTTATAGGCTATAGGGGTCGTTCACATCTAGTGCCAGGACACTAGTTCCCGGGCACGGGTACAAAATGGTGCTTTGTCCACACTCTGGGTACCCAAGTTGTCTTTCGTCCATTTTGCTGCGTCTGCAGACGCCATTTTTGCAAAAGGAGCGAAGATCGAAGTTGACTGTGGGTAAAACTCCTTGGAACCAACGAAAAACACGTGCACACAGGTCTCGACTTTGGATACGCGTAAGCATAACGTGAGATACCCAGGCACACACAAAAATAACATTTGGCGCTGCTAATGTTGACTCCTCCCAAAAATAAAGCGCAAGAAGGTGGGGTTGAAAAGCGAGATATTCGGATATCTTCGGATAGTTGATGGAATTTATTTCCAGTCCTGGGACTTTCTCCTAAATTTTTGGAAAGTATTTGTTCTCTTAGAAAATCCAGAATTTCGAATTTTCTTGATAGTTTTATACAAACGCTAATTATGAGATTCCTTTTTCTTCTCTCTTAACGATAAGTTAAAACGGTCAAGAAAAAACAGATTTCAGTAAATCAAAATAAGTTTTTTGAAGGCGCGATCTTTGGTTTCACCGCTGAGCGTTCCTGACGGTCCCAAATATACGGGCTTGCAATCTCCTTTAAAGAGTTGCTCGAAACTACGGGGCGAAATTTATTGCCAAGGCAAACGCACAACTAAAACGTAGGCGGTATGCTTAGAGCTAGGTCCCATTTGCTCCATTTCAGAGTTTCCCCTCCCCATCCAGCCTCCCCCTCACGCCGGAGTCATTAGGGGCGCTTATGCGGGCGCAGTTCAGTCGTACTTTACATTTTCTATCAAACTACTCCCTTTTTCTGGCTTGACATGTGCCATAAGCCGATATTTTGGGCAAACGTTGCTCAGAAATGCAAACCTTGCTCGAGGTTGTCAGAACTACAGAAAATTTTGCTTTAAACACAAGAGGTGCTCTTAAGTTACGCAGGTTTTCTAGCCCCGACTTGTCTAGTCTGAAATGTTCTGCGTTTCTTCGCCCCACCCCGAGACGGGCTGCGGCGCCTTAGGGGGTGGGGGGAAGGGACGGATGACATTTCAGACTACGACTTAGCGCTTTTTTCCCCTCAATGTCATTTTCTAAGAATAGAAATGTGGAATTCATAGACGTATTTTGAAACGAACGTGATTGAAAACAAGAGACTACAGTGGAACCTCCAATTAACGAAGGGCCAAGGGACTGACAAAATTTCAGAGGCACCCAACCACGGTTTCCTTCTAAATTCATTGAAAACAATTTTTAGGGTACCTAGAGTACTTTTAGATTTCTAGAAAAGCAGTCTAAGCGGCATTGTAAAATTTGTACCTGCTTGGTCATCCTAGGGTAACTTGCATCGAGTTTTTTCGAAATTACAAGGGCCTTTCCCACAAATTTTAGATGCAATTTAACGTATTACGAAAGTGAGAATTTTTCTTATTCCTCTCTCAATCACACATTTGAATCCGAACGTTTTAGGCTTCCTCCTTTCTTCGAACATGAACGCTAATTAGAGGGAGGGAGCTTATTTGACAGGAGGGTCTGCAATTTAACGTATTACGAAAGTGAGAATTTTTCTGATGCCTCTCTCAATCACACATTTGAATCCGAACATTTTAGGTTTCCTCCTCTCTTCGAGGAAGCTTATTTAAGAGGAGGGCCTTTAAAGAGGATTTGGGGTATATTTTACTATTTTTGGGGTAAAGGAACTCGTTCGTAGGTTCTTTATATCGCGGTTCCACTGTATAAGGGCCTACCCCTATATAGTCTTTTGACGAAAAAATACTTTGTTAGTGTTACGTTTGCAGGGTCGCTCTGGCGGATATGTGAAGTCAATCAAACTAAGGATTTTGATTGTTTACATGTTTCGCTTTTATAGTTACAGAAGGTGCCGCGTGAGTTTGTTTTTCAGAATGGTATCTTTCTTCGCGGTATAACCTGGGTCTCAAAGTTCTTTGTCAAGCAATCTCTCGTTTCGTTAAAGGCAGTAAAGGATTCGGGTCTGTTGTCAAAAAATGTGAGGTAGGTCAAAATGTTTCCCTTTTTTTATAGCTATAACGATTTGTTTCATGAGAAATGAGAGCCTTTTATAGAATAGCTACTGGCACTAAAGCCGTTTTGTGTTTTGTACATAAATGATACCTGTTCCAAATACGGTAAAAGTAAACAAATACTCACGTAAGGGAAGTGTTGTAGTCAATAGGCTTTTGTACATTTATGCTTTTGCTTCTCCACTAAAATGCTCCACCTTAATGCTCCATTTTTCCCACTAAAATGCTCGGTCTCCCCAAAAAAGTCACTAAAATGCTCGGATAATGCTCATTATACAAACGGTTTTTTAAATTAATTTCAAAGTTTACAGTTACAAAAACGTGCAAGTGTTGCAAGTAACAACGACAACGTGTACGAGTTCATAAATACAGCCAAAAAAACAGCTGTATTAGGTTTTTTGTGAATTTTGAGTTTTAGTCTTCATTTTCTTTAAAAACGAAAGGAGCTCGTGGGGCATGGGCTCCTAAAAAACGTTAAAATGCTCGAATAATGCTCAATGCTTTTGCCTCACTAAAATGCTCGAAAAAATGCTAGCATAATGTACAAAAGCCTAGTAGTCAAGTAGTATATTCATACCTCACTTTCGCACAATAAAGTTGCTTTTCCTTTTGAAAATTTCCGCACTGTGAAATCTAGAATCGTTTTTGGTGTTTAAACTGGCGGAAAAGGGAGAATTTGCTCTAGAGTTTCAAGTGCTATCTAAGTTCTCGCTTGTAGTCATCAATACAACTGCAAGTTCAAAGGTCGTAAATCACGCGAGTACCGTAAATGTTTCCAGTTGTAAAAACTCGCGGTTTAAATTGCCCTAGAATTTTATTTCACAGATTGATAGGGGAAGCATTGCTCCTTCTCTGGAATACCTTTTTTCTAATGAAAGCCATGTACCAGGAAGGGATTTTCACCGTTGAAAAATAGCAAAATTGATGGTCGCGATAATGCTGATTTAGAGGGTAATTTTGAAAAAATATTAAAAAATCAGATTGAAAGCCTTTGAAATTGTAACAACGTTTAGATGGAAAGGAAGGATCTTGAAATTGTTTAATATAAGAGAGGTATTGGTATTAGTTTCTGCTTCCTTTCACGAAGCGAGGGTATCAATCACACTTTTCGGTGGTTTGAAGTCCTCTTGAAGGTGAAAACGACTGATTGGAAAATATTAAGTCGAACGAACTGAGTCTTATATTTTCTAAAACAGTTTCCAAAGGGCTTTGTTGTGACAAAGTTTGGGGGATTTCGATTTTTTCATCTTGCACACCTATCCGTGGTATTTTCAGAAAGTCGCTCTTAATTTTTCACCATTAGGGACTGTGCAATAATTATCAGGAGGGGGGGAGGGGGGAGGGCTGAAAAACTAGAGGGGGGGCGTTACATAAAATTGCCGCCAAGATAGGGGAGGCTCAAAGTAAAATCACTCATTTGACGGAGGGGGGGCCTTAAGTTTCATTCGAAATGTAAATAAAATTAAACGCAATAAAAGATTCTCAATACAGATATCATGATAGACTGTAACAAATATCAACACGAACAGCTGTTAAACGATTATTGAAAATATTCCATCAAAATGAAAAGCAAATTCACAACTGATCAATTTTAACCCGTCTTCTAATTAATTGAGTTGATCTTATGTAAAGCAAAAATCATGAACTTGTTTTTCAGCTTCCCCCATAAAACAATGGGAATCAAACAGATCTCGTAGACAAGCTTTGTCGGTTTTTGATGTGAATAAAAGTAATGTTTCTTCATCGACTTAATCGATTTGCTGAATTCCATATATGTGGCTCATAACAAAGTTCAACAAGCTCTCCTCCCAAGGATCTAAACATAATGCAAGCTCTTTTTCGTCTGTTATTTGAAGCGTTCAATCTCCTGTTCTTTAATTTTTTTTTCTGCCCCTTTCTCTTTCTGGCTTCAGACGTTTTAGATTTTGAGCCAATGTGGTAAGCACCCCTGTACTTAGCAAAAGCTTTGTCTAAATCTTCAATCAAGCGATCAACATCCTTCTCGATGCTATATGTTACATAATAATGTTTGTCATTATTGAAGCTGTGATGGCAGCTCAGTCCAGTTTTGAGTTTACCAGTGTGGTGGGAGGGTGGGGGGACGTTATTTTTAACATAACAGAGGGGGGGTTAGAACTATTTTTTTTGTTTTGGAGGGGGGGTACTGTCTAAGTTTTTGTTAGATAACTCTAGTTTTTCAGCCCCTCCTCCTGACAATTATTGCACAGTCCCTTACTTATAATACGGTGATCTTTTTGCTGTAGTGACCCTTTTTCAGTGTTCTAGCTGTCCGCTTGGTTTTTTTTGTTGTGTTTGTATCAATTCCACCACCTGAACGATGTCTTATTAAATACAGTGTATTGATCTTGGCTACCTTTGGACTTAAACTAGGCCAAATCTTTAAATATTAGTCGTAACACATTGAATTACACCACACCTTTAAGCATTTTTACTGCTACTGTCAAGTTATCCTGGCTTCCACGCATGTTGTTTACTGTCGCCTTGGCAACGTATGAAAAAGCTCCTTTACCAATGACTTTAACTATGTTGACCTGTCTGCGACTGATCTCCCAGCTCCTCGTTGAGGTATGAAGTGGCATGTAATTTGTACTTGCTGTGGATGCATAGGTCGGGGCTTCAAACGTTTTCTCCACATCAAGGGATTGTGTATCAGCCTCTACTTTAAGGGCAATGGGATTCTGTTGTCAAACATAGTGTGGTAAGATTCAGCGGCAAAAAAATAAACAACGCTGAACTGTAAAGTGTCTTTTTAAAAGAGGCCTCTAAGTAACCATACAATTAAAGAGACAAATGATTGAATAAATTAAATGAATTAATACGCTGTAAAACTCTTTGTCTTAAATATCATTTAGTGGCAAATGTCGAAAATAAATGTTTTGAGTTCAAGTTTCGTACGGAGCGTCCAATCAAGGTTTCTGTCATTTGCTAAAAAAAGGGGAGGAGACCGTCAGAAGTATTTTCTCCAAATAATGATGCTTTGCGAAGCATCTAATAAAGCTTTCCGTTATCCGCTGAAAAAATGAGTAGAGAACCTCAGAAGTATGTTGTCCGGGCAACGATGTTTTGTTATGCTTGGTCCTATCTCATGATCTAACGTTCGGCGTAGGCACATCTTTGGTTAAAATAAAGAGCTTGACAAGGAAAAGCAACAAGGGGATTTCGATTACCCCCCACCCACCCACCCCACCCTGGTAAGTGGCCACTGGTTTATTTCCATCGAAGACCAAAATTCCATACGTTGTACACAAATACTCTTCGCAAGCAATAACTTATTAACTTGCCATAGCTAGAAGATCTCCACATCTTGGACAATTTCTGTTGGCAAGAAAGTAAATAGTACTGAAAAACGTTTAGTTTAAACTTTGCGCCAACGAGACGCTATCAAGTTTGCTCTATCTGTCTGTTAATGCACCTATCAATGGAAACCCCGTGGGGGGGGGGGGGGGCAAGGGGTGGGGATTTGACAAATTTTACAATTTTTTAATCAAATTCTCCAGAACGGCTTGGAAACTAAAATTTCGAGGACGTTTTTGGACTTTTTACATTTAGGGCATGAATTTTTCGTCATTTCAGGGCATGGAACCTAAAAATGAGCCTAGCTAGCTGTAAAAAGGGGCAATACGGAGGCAATACGTCCTAGCCGGCATGATCACATGCTGTTTACGGAAAATTCCCTCATCCATGTCAGGAAATTCTGTATTTTAAAGCCTCCCCTAGGGCATGACTCAGCAACTGAGGACATTTCTGCTACGTTTTCAATGTTCGTTAGCATGCAAGGATTTTTCCCATGCCTATCGTCAATGATTTGCTCACTAGTAATAGAGGGGGTGGCCCCAGAGTGGTTTTACATTGAAATTGGCATGCAACAGAATTTCGCATGCCCTGTAAGCATAATTTGAGGTTCCGTGACCTTCTCACCCAGGCCGCAAGAAGCCTAGGTTCTAGTAATAAGTAATTCATACCCAGCAAAATCTCCCGCATGCCGGGCATGCCAAATTTTCTGACATGCCCGGCATGCCAAATTCTCTAGCATGCCGGGCGTACCATGCCGGGCATGCCAAAATCGGTCTCTGGCATGCTCTCAACGCACAGGTTATAATTCCTTGAATCTACCGATATTTTAAGCCTGGCTTAAAAAAAAAAAAACTAAACAGATCACCGTGCTTATCTTTTGATGTACGGTTACACGATGACGTCATTGCTATTCCTTTCATTTTCATGGATTTGGTTGTCTCAGCGAAGTTTAAATAACAAAAGCTCTAATTTTCACAAGAAAGTAAAACCCGGAGGGATTCTGCCGTAGTAATAAAACAGCGTCATCGTGGAGATGACCTGTTGAGGGATTGTAAAAACTCCTCACCCCATTTAATGAGTCTTTAATAGGATTCCCATTTCACATTGCGAATAAAATGAAATTGACTGAAATCAGTAAAAAGAGAGACAGAGACTATTTTCATTGTATAATAAAATGCATCTATGTTCCATGAAAGCTTTTAAAAATACAAGGTTATAGAATATCTTTCAAAGTTCATTACAAAATGAGCTAAGCTCCAAAATCACTGTTCATTATTCAGTAAATTATGATGTTTGACAATGCATTGTGCTTGAATATAACGTTGCAATTACAAATCTCTCTAACGCAATTTTCCCAACGTTAGAAAAGTTGTTTTTATCTCGTTTCACATTTTGATGAGGAGTCTGAGTTCCTCTTTCTTGTTTTGTAGCCTTGCCAGGGATTAATGTTTTTGTGTCATTACCAGTGTCTGTGTTCTTTGTTTTTAACTCAAAGTAAGTCAGTAATAACTGACAGTATCAAAGAATTGCTCTCTAGAAAAGTAATTATCTCCTCGTCATGTCTGGAAGTTACCTGTAACAAAAAAGAAATGGAATGTTAACACATGCAAGGGCAATATGAAAAAAGAAATAGAACATGTAGAGCTCAGCTTCTCTTAAGATATTTTCATACTGGCTTGTTGAGTCTGTTAAAGGTCGCAACTAATTGTCTGAGGCTAATTTCACAAGAGTGTGCAATTGAGATAAATGCATGGTAGATAAAGTGAAAGAAACGTGGTTTCACATTAGCGAATTTACATTGCGTTGTTCGATGATGTTTACACGCTCTTCTACCGCGAAATAAACCTTTGCCTTTGGGTTTGCAAGTCAAGATTATCCCGAGTTTGACTGACACTTGAACAACAGTTTCATATTTAAGCAGATAAGGTGTCGTCCGTTTTAAAAGCTTTATAACCCAATCATAATTTTCGGCTTAAAATAGTACAAAATCATTTCAAAAACCATGTTCATTTAAAGTAGAGCCCGCAAACGTGAACATTTTGTGATTCAAAAGTCGGACCCTGTACCGCCACCGAAATGATCCCCACCATCGAAATGATCCCCGCCACCGAAATGACCCCCAATCACCACCGAAATGATCCCCACCACCGAAATGATACCGGCGGTCACCACCGAAATGATCCCCGGAATATCAGGAATGGAATTAAGGGGACTAGAAAAACTGGACAACAATTTAGTGCGTGCTTTTTATTTATTTATATTGCATTAAAGCAAAATAAGTCAAATTGTGCTGATGATATCATGACGACAGTGATGACGTCAGTTACAGGCTCACATTACAACACGTGCTTTCCAATTAATTTCGGTACTTGCACTGGCTGCTGTAGCTGTCATCTCAAATCATTAACATCATGAAAACTATTCTGTCATTCACAATTATTTTTCTGCTGTGCTGACTTTGTGCAGCCTTTGCCAGTACATGGAAACTCACCCTGATGTCATGGAGTGAGCCGACATTTATATCTGTGGATTTCTTTCTGACATAAAAAATAGTGTGACAAAATGTGCTGACATTTTATAGCCCGGCAGCATGCTCTAACACCGTTAAGTTTTTAAAGCAAAACTAGTTGTAATCTGCTCGTTATCACGTTATAATTATGATAAACCTGTTCCCTGTTCAAGGCGGATTTATGTAGTTCCTTAAAAAAATGTTAAAATATTGAAAATAAAATCAGTGTATAGAACTGTTATCAGTCTAATTGCTTTCTCTATTTTCCTCTGTTTAGAATCGTGTTTGCATGAATAAACGAATAATTTAGAATAGATAGCAAAGTCCCAAGTCCATTTAAGCCAAGGTTCCGAAAATTTATGACGGGATCATTTCGATTGCGAATAGGTATCATTTCGGTGGTGGGGATCATTTCGGTGGTGATTGGGGGTCATTTCGGTGGCGGGGATCATTTCGATGGTGGGGATCATTTCGGTGGCGGTACAGACCTAAACGCACATTCACAGATTGCTTATATTGAGTTGTTTACAACTTTGCATTGACACCTGCAGCATGTTCATTTTTTTAAAGCGAAATCCAAATCTGATTTTGGCATTTGATTTACGGATATTTTATTTTGTCTCCAAAAGTGATTGTAATATCCGTTTGATTGTCCTTCAAACAACAGTCAAACTATGCAGCAAAATAAGTAACTTTACCAGTACACTGAGTGAAAAAATATGACCGTAGGTGCCAAAAATAATTATCCTCGAGATATAAAATTAGATCTGACTTTTTGTAGCTTTGGTTTCTATATTTTTGAAGTTTTCTCTAGTCTTCTTAGCAGCAGAAGAAGATTACAAGACGTACAAACAGAAACAATCCGAAGTGAGCGAGTTGACAACCACGTATGCCGGCGCCGTTCTTAGGCATGCTCAACAGCAAGATAAACTGAATGCCAAAAGGCTAATTCACGGGATTTGTTCGATATTCAGTCTTTTTCTTTACCAAATTAATACTAAATTTGTACTTACAGTCTCTCGCAGAATCCATTTCTTGTCCAGCATTCACCAACATCTCAACCATGCACCGCAGAAAAAAAAGACAAACAAGTGCGAAGAGACATGACGACATTGTGACGCCACAACTGCCACGCTACAACAAATTAAACTAGATTCATCGTCATCCGAAAACACTTCTGCGGAAATTCGGCCGATTTCGTGCCTGCTCGGGGTATCTTCGGATGAAGCAGATGACGTTGCTCAAAGGACTATCGTCAGCATGCAAGGAGTAAAACAGTTTGCGAGATTCGCATAACCGACAAGAAGCGCACTGAAAACTAAAGCAAAATCTCTCTGAGAAGGCAGGACAAATTCACCAAATCAGAACGTCTTTGCAGTATTAACGTCGTACTCTGGTACTGACTTGAAGGACCTGGTAAGCTTAATTTTCACCCGTCTTTTAATGCTGTTGACCGGGAAACGTTCCGACGCGATAAAACTTAATCATGGATAAGTTTATACTGAGAAGATTTGTTATCTTATTGTTTAAAACGCTTTTCCGCGATCTAATCTGGACCCAGAAATGTCAGTATTGGTTTGAAATAAAAGGATTAATCTTTGATTACAAGTGACGTATTCTATTTCATGCATGAATAATGTTGTTTTGTTGTGCTTTTTATTTATAAATCCAGGCTTCTGTCTTCAGTTTTGCTAGTCGATCCCGTGACACACATTGTGACTTTTTTTGTTATAATCTGCATTTATTGCCAGGCATGAAACCTGTAACTTCAAGCTCCCTAAGATATATTTGGCGATTATATGTGATTCTCAGGATATGATGCTGAAGCGAACATCAAAATCAGTCTCGCTGGGCATGCCAATTTCATGCCCGGCATGCCGGGCATGCCAAACCAACTGGCTTCACGATCGGCATAATAAGTTTAGCTGAGTCGATTTTGGGCTGCGAGGGAATGAACCCATTTTTTCCATGCCTATGAGATGTTATTTCTAAGTGCCAATGTTCCCTTGAATTTAGTCATGCCTAAATATATAGAATTTTCCCTGTCTCATTAATCCTCAGACTGGATGCGATTTTTACGCTCGCTAGGCATGTTCAACTGAAAATCATGCCCATACCCTCATTCGAAACAAAATGGTATCAAATTTTAGTTTCCAAGCCGTTCCAGGGTGGGAAACGAAAGGTCAATCAATAGTGTCAAAAAAGCCCCCACCCCAGGGGAAAAATCTAAACAAACCCATAATACTGTATAAAACGAATTAAAAGAACATTTCAAAAGTACGTCCTTACTAAACGTAAGCTCCGTTAAATTACTCGCTGTAATTAAGTATTTTCTCTCTCCACTAGCATCTCTTATTTTAAACAACAAAATCACTCTAGGAAGATTGACCGTGCTATTATAATATTAATGAAACGTAAAATGCTTTATAACATCTGCTCAACATCTCGGAACAGGTCGGATCAGTGACCCATAAAAAAATCCTCTGACTTTCATGGTGGAATTCGATTTCAATCGAGTTTTACAATCAGATGGGAACTTGAAGATAAAAACTTTCTCAAAATAGACATTATCTGTTTAGATGACAGTTTAAAATATCGGATTATGGTGATTAAAACAAATGAAAACTTCACACCTTTTTCCAACAGCGTGACTTTCAGAAAGCCTCGATGGACGGACTTGATAACCGCCTCTGAATAGGACAATTGCACGATGACGACATTTGACTACAACTACCAGAATTCAATTCGGTTTTGCTTTGTTATTTAAATTTGTCAATCCCGCTGAGGATTAAGGAACAATAGCCTTAATTTGCACAAGAAAACAACAAACTCAAGGATTCTGGTAGTTGAAGTAAAATGACGTCATCGTGCAATTGTCCTATTGAAACCAGGCTTCTGTCGGTCAAAGTCGAATGTCCCGACCCCGGGGTCGCTTCGCACGATCAAAAGCCCGACAGGGAGATAGTCTCAGGCATCAAATCCCCCACCCATTGCCCGCACTCCCCCTCCCCCCCCAAGGGATTTACATTGATAGGTGCATAAGCCACATAACCTTTGCCTATGCTAGTGCCCTTATTAGAAACAATCTTTGCTTAGATTGGAGTTAAACACTCCGGTACTGGTGGTACAACTGACTAAGGGAGTGGTAAAGTTGAAACATTTAAAATTGCTACTGAGTTCAAGCTCTATTAGGCGGCCACCTAATAGAGCCGTGCGCATTTGTTCCAGAGGTAATGCAACTTGACGTAATGCAAGACAGAGAATGCATTGTTTTCGAGCGAACACGTACAGATCAGAGAATCCATGAGCCACGTGCGTGTTTGTGAGTCCCGTGCTCATCCAGTCTTCAACCAATCGTCGGGTGGATATTCATTTGCATCATACGCAGTAGCTATCGCATTTGCCCGCTGAAAATTTTTTATTGCCTGCCGCCATGAAAAAACAACGCCGTAAAATTGCCCGCTGAATAATGTCTGAAACTTTTATTAAGATTAAATCACTGTAACACTTTGAAATTTGACAACAAACCTATCCTACGGACCAGTCAAATACATATATCCATGACCAGTACATTTCAGGGCGAGTATTGTCAATGCGTTACATTCAAAAGGTGCGATAAATTCAAACTAAAATGTACTAGTCTTGGAGGTATGTACAGTGCGCGTTATTTTGAAAAAATTAGCATAACGTCAAAACGCAGATTTTTGACAGATTCGTAGGATAGGTTTGTCTTGAAATTTCAAGGTGTTACAGTGAATCAATCTTAATGAAAGTTTCAGACATTATTATATACATAATGAAGATTATTTGAAGAGATTTAAAAAAAAAATTAGATGGAGTCGTTTCAGAGATATACAAAAAAGCGCTAAGAGTCCAAATTTTGAATGAAGTCGGCACTTATACATGCGTACAGTTGGTGAGAAAACGGGTTAGTTTTCAAGGTCGCAAGAACGAAAATACATCAAAATTTCTTAGCATCAAAATATGATATTAAGCAGCATTGTGACGCTACTTAAGAATAATTTGAGTCATTTATAACGTTTTTATTAAATAATCTATCACGGCTATTGAAAATTTAAGGTTTGAAATATATCTTCGTTTTAGTCGAAACATACAGAATTTTTAACTTCTTACGCAGATTGTTTGCTAAACACCAGACTTTAAGTTCTTAGTGTTGGATTTTCAGTAGCATGTCTAGATCACACAAAATTCGGCTTTTATCAATTTCAAAGTTTTCTGTTTATTGTTGTCATAGTAATGTCGATTTGACTTAAAGGGAACCTCCACTTCAACAAAAAGATAACTTTAAATCACAGGAAATAACTGTTACAGTCAAGTCAATCTAAAATATTTTTAAAGAAAGCGTTTGTATCCGAAAGAAATAACTTTTAGATTCGCCTATTTTTGTTTTCAAATTTTGCGGGCGTCGCCATCTTGAATAATTGTGAAGTGTTACGGATGCCCTATTGTTATTAAACAAAAGCTCTATGTGTCAGAACATTAGAGCAACCATAACACGTCACAATTATTCAAGATGGCGGCGCCCGCGAAATTTGAAAGTGAAAATAAGCGATTCTAAAATTCACTTTTTCTGATATAAACACTTTTTTAAGGACAAATTTCGAACAAATTTGTTTATCAACATAATTTTATTCAATTTAAACTTATTCTGTAGTAAGAGTGGAGGTTCCCTTTAAAACTACATTTTCACATATTTCAATCCATAGCCAGTTACCGGTGAAAATTTTAATAGCAATCGGACAAGGAAAAAACCACTCTTAAGGCGATTGAGAAATATCGGTATGGCCTCTGAAAAACCGTATCGAAACACCTTAATATACGCGCGAGTTACTAGAGTGCTTCCTCGCCTCGGGATTTCGCCTTCTGGGCGAAATCCCTGCGGGGGCAATAATTCTTCCTAAACAAGTTTGTCGCTGAAACGCGCGTACATTGTCTTTCTATATTTTCGCAGGGGCGATGAATCCGAGAAAACTACGAGGATAACAATAAGACAAATTACTTACTTTTTCGCCCGTAACTTTCCTGAAAAAAAAATATTTTCAGCCTTGTTAAATTTTTAAACACTTTAACATCTAGTTCTTGACTGATATCTCTGGGGCTCAATACAAAATACAGGGCGTGAGTATCTCTATCTAGTCCTCGCAGCAATTACCAAGCCTTTCAGGGATTTTTCTTAAGGAATCACGTCTACTACATTTTTCTTTGTAACCACATTGATAACGTACCATGCGAAATTAATTACGGCCGCGCTCACTCTTCAGCAGGATCTGGTATTTTATAATTTTAACGAAAACTGGGAAAAGCCTCTAAAATCCAGTATTAAAGCTAAACGAAGGTCTAAGAATTAAAAAAACAAAAAAAAAACAAATCTTAACGCCTTGGAAAACAAACTGGGCTTATATCAACAGCTCGGTGGGTAATGAATGGGTTGATGGGCTAAGTGGGTAATGAAGGGGTTAATATATCCATTGGGGCTTTAGTCCTGTATCATCGCGTGTCAGCATGTAGAGTCACCGTGGCGAATTCGGTAAAAGAACTAGAAACAAGACCAATGGTTTTAACATAAAAAACCGACTTACCTGAACGGGTGCGCATTCGGCAGACGACGAATATCAGAATAAGATTACTTATTAACAAAAGACAGATGATGGTAATATAAACAGCATGAAGAATTTCTTTTTGATTACCACACGAGGAACCTAACACAAAATGTTTGCTGTTAGTTGTAAGCAATAGCGCAGCGACAGATACACATGCACTATCCTAAAGCTACAAGTAGAAAGAGAGAATACAGAAGATATTGTCCAATTGCCTGTGAACAGCCTGGATTGTAATATATTGCAATTGTTGCCCTTCAAACGTTTCTAATTTTACTGAAGCAAAAGAAGTATAGCACTAATGTATGTGAGAACAAGTGTAGTTTAATTCTGGTTCTCTTTCCACCTTCATGAGTAACAGCAACTCACCCGTTTGGCTTCCTGTTGGTTTGAAGGAACCTGGGAGAAATATTTAACAACGCTGTCATTCTAAAGAGTTACATGGGAATGATATAGAGTGTTTTCACTCACGTGGCCAGCATCTATGCAAATGTTTTGGAACAAAAGAAATCACTTGCATAAGAAAAGAGTTCATCTCCCACAGGACTAGTTTGGGACACCAACATGGCCGCCGTTTCATTGTTTTGGGACACCAATATGGCCGACGTGACGTCATGTGAAAACACTCTATACAGTTAAACCTGCTCAGTTAGCGAGGTTGCTATTTGAGCCCTTACAAATTATATAAATACGCCTTTCGATATTCTCCGTCGGTCACTACTCTTGCAACCATCTCCTTCTAAGTTACTTTTTTTAATGATTATTGTCGTACCAATCCTATCTTGGTACTAACTGACTGGTCTATATAAAGCATGAATGATTCACATTTCATGCATGGTTCAATGGATAAGGGTACCATTGCCGCAAAGTCGGAGTTGCTGACTAGTTTTGTGAACAGCGTTTTATCTACAATTTTTCGTTGGCATTCCCTTAAACTGAATAGCACTATAGTTGCGATACGAAGCTCAAGTTGACTGTTTAGTGACTACAGAAAAGTACTTGAGTGATCTACTATATCTTTCCCTGAGCATACACTCCTTCAGTTAACCTTGCGCTTGACCTACCTTCAGGTACGTCAACAAGTTGTATCTTGCTGTCCTTGGAACTCTCCCCGTACTTGTTGCTTGCTGTTACTAGTACTTTACACTTCTTGCCTATTTCGACTTTCACAACGTATTTACGTACTGAGACATCAGTTATCTTTTCAGTCTCCTCCCACTGCTCATCATTTAGGGTTCCATAATACACAGTATACATTGTGATTTCTGCTCCGTTGTTGTTTGGTTCATCCCACTTCAAGGTTATTTCATCAGCATTTAATTCGTATGTGAAGGCCACTGCTGACGGAACACCTTTCGCGCAAAGAAATGTTACTGTTCAGATTTTTACAGGGTTGGAAAGTTACTTCTCCGGAAAATTTTCTTGTTCTTCCTTATTTAACAAGAGTACACTTTTAGAGCATAACGTTTAAACCAGAAAAAAACTACAAAATAGAGTCAGCGATTAAAGACGGTACTTTAAAATGGCGGCCGATAGCATAGTACAATGTATGGGGTAAAGAACAAAAAGTCAGTATTTTCAAAGTCCGACCTCTCGATGAAAAGAATGTTTGTCTTTTTTTTTTCTTATAAATTAATCATAAACATTGATAAATTATACATTGCTATGCAATTTAGTTAGTGTGCTTTCATACTCATATTTACATTGTAGCCAACTTTGGTTTACGGCAGGTAATTTTCCTAAGATAACTTACTGTAAGCAAGCGAATATTAACGTTAAAAGCCGACGTTTAGGTATCATCATGACACCATTCTCAAGGCAAAATGAATAAATAATGCGAAGATTTGATTTCTATAGTTTCTACAAATTAGCATAATAACAAAGTTCTTAAAGTGAATACCTTTGCGCGAATCGAGTCCGCCTGCACGTTTAGGGATGGTTTGAGTTTTCTTATAAAGAGCATCTCCTTAATTAGGCAATCAAATTTGTTAGAACCTTTAGTGAGCACGTGAAATTGTTCTGAAAGAAAAGGTGGTACGTCCGAGTTATGTTCGCATTATTTATTTGTTCAAATCTTCGCATTATTTATTCATTTTGCCTTGAGAATGGTGTCATGATGATACCGAAACGCCCACTTTTAACGTTAATATTCGCTTGCTTATGTTTTAAGAAATCGTTATTGATCATAACTTACTGTAAAGCTAATATCATTGACGTAAACACGAAAATAAAGTTATCATTATATATTATGTAAATCTTTCACCGTCATTAAAACTGTAGGTTCTCATCGGCAGCGAGCCACGTTCTGTGGCCTTGGGTGGGTGGACATTTTAAAATAACACAAAGAGCGTAAAGAGAGTTAAGATACCGGGGCCATAATACACCTAGTTACCTCCCAACACTGTGATTTTCCTAATTTTGCCCTCTTCTTTCCTTCCTTCTCCAAACATGTTTGTAGCAGTAACTACCAATTCATATTCTTTGCCTTTTTCCAAATTAACAACGACGTTACGATCTGAAGTATCTGTAATTTCCTTTGTTTTGATCCAACTGAATGATGTGCCATCCTCACGGACAGTTCTTTGGTACACAGTGTACCGGGTTATAAGTGCTCCATTGTTTTCAGCCTCTTTCCATTTTACGGTGATTTCAACATCCCTTGTTTCTTTTGGTAAGTCTGTGATCTCTGCTGCTGCAGGTACTCCTGCAGGATTAAACAATAATAGTACAAAGTGAACAAAAACTTGATGTTTACTGTCATCACAATGTTTAGCTACACATACGTCTGCAAACTGTTCCTCTATTTTTAATGATAACATCCTTTGTAACAAAATTTGCTTGCTTGTGCTGCAAAACCATTGTTATATATTCAGTTTTTGCTTATTATTTTAATTGAAATTCCTTGCTAGTTAATACGCACTAGATAAGGACTGTCCTCCAACGTTTCACTAAGTTTGTTAAACAGGCCATTGTGAAAAATTTCCCTCTTAAGTTGTCGTTTGGATAGTCAAATAAACCCGAAGTTCACATTTGTTGGCTTCACACTAAAGCTCTCAAGTATAATCTAAGTGCACTTGGAACCTACTTTCTGTGTGAAGGGATAAATTTACCTACTTCAACTTCACTTGGTGCTCAAGAAAACAATCGTAGTTCAAGGAAGCCGAAGGTCGTCGCCATGAATGGTCTACACCACACTTGAGAACACACTTGACCAATAACGGGAAATTTAAGCCATGTGCACGATCGATGTCCACGTGCAGCGGTTCCACGATTCTAGTGCCGGCAGAATGCTTGCCTCAAAAATCGCTTATTCCGCTCGAAATTCTGCCGGCAGAATTTATCCAAGCCTACAACTTTAGAGTCAATAAAGACGAAAACGGAAAGCAAAAAGTGTTTCTGTATCCGTGTTGTCTCAAGTATTACCTTACATTAATTGCCATGTCCACAAATTTGGAATACAGAGATAGAGAAAGACAGAGAAAAAGAGGAAGTAGGCGACAGGACATCGAATTTCAACGAGAAAAAGAGCGACAGACAGGTAGAGCGAGAGATAAAAGACAAAGGAGACATTCCTTCGTTGCAAGAGCAACATGAAAGTTTTGTAGTGGCGGTGAGAAAATAAGAAATGCCAGCGGCCACCAATAGACCATACCAATTTACAGTTGTGGACTTAGTATCCTAGCCTTTGAGTGAATGTGAGGCTGACGGTGACCTTGTTTTGATACAAACCTCCTTTGCTTTGTTATGGAAATTGTCATTGAAAAATACTAGTTAGCATAAGAATAACTTGATTTACATAATAAAACAGGAAGGTTTGTATCAAAACAAGATCAACTCCTTGCTAATTAGACCTATTGTTGTTTAATATTCACCGCTCTCTTTTCCTTCGCCGCTTAAGGTGGCTCCGTAATTAATTCAAGGGCATTTAGCTGTGACAAATTTTCCGTCATAGCTTTTTCGATTTCAACGCGATGGCTGCGAAACTTTGCAAAAAACAACAGATATCATTCGGCAATAATACGAAATATTCCGATTTCATTGCTGGTAAATATTTCTTGAGAAATTAGCGCTTAAAAGGGCCCTACTGTTCAAAGAAAATCGCGTCTAGTAAAAAATTTCTTGTCATCATTGTCGTTCGTCCCCCCTGGGTGAGGTGCGAATTCCTCGCAGAACTGCCTCTCGTGCTCATTTTGTAGTCATAAACAAAGGTGCTGGACAGTTCTTTCTGAGCTCTGATACGAGGTAGCGTCCAATCTCAATACTTTTTTCCTGAGTTGGAAGCAACAAACAGCAGTAAAAGTCGTTGAAAATGCATTGCAATACATCAAAATGTATGCAGCGGGAGTTTGAGCCAAAACTGCCAAGGGATATTTCAAAACTGTCGAAGAACAAGTCATTCTACTTCAGACCAAGGTTGGGAGTAATTTATTGTGCTTCTAAAACTAAAAAGTACCTTTTAAAGAATAGCACGATAGGCAATCGGCTTTTGATTTAAGAATTAGCAAACGTTGAATTTACTTGTCCCAGAAATTCAAACTGGTGGCTCCTTCTACCTGATAGTAATTTATTTTTGAAATTCCAAAACAATTTCAGAGCTGAATTTTGAGCGACTTTTAGTTACGGACTTCTGCTCCAACGATTTTTCTGAAATTCCTCTGGCATATTTATTATATCAATTAAAGCCGATACCAGAAATTTCACTAAAAAATATCAGCAAATTTTTTTACTAGACGCGATTTTCTTTGAACAGTAGGGTTCTTTTAAGCGCTAATTTCTCACGAAATATTTACCATCAATGAAATCGGAATATTTCGTATTATTGCCGAATGATATCTGTTGCTTTTTGCAAAGTTTCGCAGCCATCGCGTTAAAAACCAAAAAGTTATCACCGAAAATTTGTCACAGCAAAATGCTCTTGTATTAATTACGGAGCCACCTTAACATTACACGATCATATATTTTGCTGGAGCAAACTATGCATATTATCGAGAGCTTACCATTTAGCCCTGGCTAAATCTATGTTATATTTTGTCAACAAGTGTGAAGCCAATTGTAAAGCCATTAGTGCAGTGGCTTATGATGATTTTTTGGCGAAATCGTTACAGAATGGAAGAAAGCGGCAAATCTGGGGAAGGGGGGTTGAAATGGTATTTAATTTACCCTTACATACATCAAAATGAACGCGAGGCTGAAAGTCAAGGCGAAGCTTTTCGTGCTTTGTTTCGCGATTGAAAATAAAAAATATACAGGAAAAAAGATCGTCCGCGTAAATCTTTATTATCACACTATTTTCGACGAGAACTCGGTCACCTTGACCATAGTGGGATATTCCACCGGATTTTGAATATGTACCACAATTTGTTAAGGGGATTCGAATAGTAGTATCTCTCTGACCATGACACTAACAATGGCAAGGCACCGAAACATCACGATTCCGGGATAACTGCCCAGAAGACTTTTTAGCGACAAGTAAATAACCTCGCCGACGCAATGAAGGTATTAAAAAATCCTTTTGAAGAAAGGATCGAACAACTAATTAACATCGGCACTGGAGACTGTGCGTCAAAAGATGTGGTAATGTCTTTGCGCTCTATCGAAAGTGTAGGGCAGAATCAGTACAAGAGGTATGTGACAGAGGTGCATGAAAATCAACCCTATCCATTATCTCTCTTAGAGTTTGGAAATCTACGAGTCTACGGAAGTCTGATCTCGTAACGCGCGTTCAACTTGAAATTAAGTATCCTGATCTTCCATCAACGTGCGACTGTAAGATCTTTGATGGTGCAGCTGTGGTTCCTGCCCTACCAGTCACAACGGTTTCAACGTTTGAGAAGTATGCTGACAACATCTTTATTGCATCTATTTTTAAACACCTTCAATAGGCCAAACGTGTCGACGTTGTTTGGGATACGTATACAAATAAAGCATGAAAGAATCAGCCAGAGAGAAGAAAGTCGCAGGTCAGACACGAAAGGTGACAATTGGAACCAAGGTTCCATTAAAGTGGAAAGTGTATCTGCAAGATACTACCAACAAGGAAGGGCTATTTTCTCTTTTGACTGAAAGAGTAAACAATTTTTAGTTTCCAGAAAATAAGGAGGTGAATATCACTTCAGGATAAAATTGTTTTCTCGAGCAGCGGGTCCTTAGATATACAAAGATGCGACCACGAGGAAGCCGACACGAGAATTGCTGTGCATGTTCTGCACGCTCTAAATAAAGGATACAATCATTGACAGACATTGTTGTGATAATGATTGGGCTCTTTTAACGAATTCTTATCTCCGTCCCATTCATTCATTGTCATCTACATCCCTCTGCATATGTCTGGATAAGTTTGGGTATGGGAAAGCACTTCCAGCTGTTAATCCCATCTGTGCATCTCTTGGTCCCGATACATCTCGAGAGATGCCTCTGTTTCATTGCTTTACTGGTTGTTTCCTTCGAGGGAAAGGGAAAGAAATCCACTTGGGAAGCTTGGAAGTCGTATCGTGAGGTTATAGATGCGTTCCTGTTTGCCGATAACCCGTATTAACAATTGGACACGGAAGGAACCCGACTTTAAGCCGCTTGAGCGTTTTAGTGGCTATCTATGACAAGACAAGCAATGAAACCTTGTTACGAAAAATTGTATTGCACGACTAGCGTGACTTTCTAGGAACTTCGCGAGAGTTCATAGTTTGTTTATTTTAGGATCTTGGTATATTTTGTAATCTTTCCATAATTAGACTATTTCGAAAGTGCTAGAATCTTATTGTGAAAGTATATAAGTAGGCGAGTCCGAGCCATGTTTTAAATAGTTTTCACAAGCGAAGAGGGTTTGACGTAAGTGTGACTGAGGCAGTGTTCATTGAAGTTGGCGGAGGCCGTGTAAGTTTATCGAGTTACGTGCTGTTCAGTAGAGTTTAACTTGGTGGAAACTGCGTTCATTTTTGGAATAAATCTTCTTGTTGCTGTTCCGACAACCCTTCGTTCAGTTTAGTTTGTAAGCTAGCCGTCCTCTAAAAGATTACCTACGTAACACTGGGGGCCTGTCCTGGGAGAGGAATTCAATTGTTTGCCGACTACAGTAACCAAGAAAGGAAAGTTCAAGAACAAGGAGTTACAGCGAAAGCAAGAAGATCTGTTACAAGAAAGTATATCTTGTGTGATTGCTGTGATCTACTGCTGTGAAAATGGACAAGCTTTTGCAAATGGAAAAAGAATTCGGATTGGAGGGAGGAAAACTGTTTGAGTTTGTAGAAAAACAACAAAAGTTAGAAGAAGAAAAAGAAGAAAAGCGTAGACGGTCAGAAGAGGAAAAAGAGGAAAAACGTCGAAAACTTGAGGAAGAAAGAAGGAGGGAAGAGGAAGAGAAAGAAGAGAAACGTAGACAGTTAGAAGAAGAAAAAGATGAAAAGCCTAGGCAGTTAGAAGAAGAAAAGGAAGAGAGACGTCGAATACTTGAGGAAGACAGAAGAAAGGAAGACGAAGAGAAAGAGGAAAGACGTTGAAGAGAAGACGAAGAAATAGAAGCTAGGGGCAAGAACGTGAACTGAGAAAATTAGAGCTGGGAGCAGACCTGTTGAAGCAGAAAGAGGGTATTGAAGCTGCTAAGAGAGAGCATGAACTAGAGCTCGCTCGTCTAGGACAAGGTCGTAACTTCGTCGAACGCGCTGAATTGAGAGAGGATAGGGCTAATGCACCTAAGCTTCCCTCATTCGTTGATGGCAAGGACGACTTGGATGCTTACCTACAACGATTTGAGAGATTCGCAGCTACAGCTAAATAGGAGAAGACAGGACTGGCTTCAAAACGTAGTGCTCTTTTGTCTCGACGTGCTCTAGAGGTTTATTCGCGATTATCTGAGGAAGCAGCACAAGATTATGACCGAGTGAAGTTAGCTTTGTTGAAGAGATATGACCTTACAGAGGATGGCTATCGTCGTAATTTAGAGTGTCAAAGCCGGAAGTTGACTAGAGTCCTGAACAGTTAATAGTGAGACTGGATACATACTTGTGTTGGTTTGAGCTGTCGAACACTGAACGTTATTTTGAAGGCATGAAAGATTTAATTGTGAAAGAACAGTTGACTCTTATCCAAAAGAGTTGGCTATTCACCTTCGTGAAAGAGCCCCGGAAACGCTTGTTCAGAGAGCTAAGGTTGCCGATCAACACTTGGAAACACATGGAAAGCATCTATTCAGCTCTGCGAGCAAGGAGCCACAAGTACAGCCCAAGGGGGAGGAAACAAAGACTGCACGGAGTGACACAACGGTCCCCCGTGTTAAAAGTGTAACGCCCGCGGACAGAAAGGTATTAACTGCCCAACTCTAGCTAAAAGTGTTTCTTGTGCGGCAAGCAAGGTCATGAAGCGAAGAACTGTCCATCAGGTGGACGCAAGTCGGGAGGCCAAGGTAAGGATGGCAACCCTGTGCAACGTGGTCAAGTTAGTGCTGGCTGTTTGGTTAAGTCAGCCGATGTTAACGCTACCCCCGAAGAAGGCAAGTCGTGTATTCAAAATGATCAGATTCTGTTAACCTGTGGGAAGAAAGTCCCGTTGCTGAGTAATGCTTGTGTTGAACCCTTAACTGGAGTGAGAAGTAAGATGCCTGTTGCAAAGGGCAGAGTTGGAGAGGAGACTGTCGAAATTTTAAGAGATACTGGTTGCATTGGAGTTGTAGTCAAGAAGATCATTGTCTGCGAGGATTAGTTCACCGGAGACTTTAACGTTATGTTGCTTATTGTTACCACAGCAGGCAAGGTGCCTATAGCAAGAATTTATGTTCATACGCCTTATCTTAAGGGTCAAGTAGAAGCGCAGTGCCTTTCAGATCCTATTTACGACCTAATTATTGGCAACGTACCTGATGACGGGGACGCACAAAATCCAGACCCCGGTTGGCAAGAGGCCTGTGCGGTAATACAAGAAGTCAAGCCAAGAAAAAGGAAAAACGCATGGCCTTGAAGTTAGCAAGTAGCCTTGAGAGCCCTATTGTGGATAGAGAGAAGCTCAAGCAGATGCAGCGTGAAGATGAGAATCTGCGCAAGTACTGGGGCTGAGACGATGGACTAGTAAAGGGTCAGGCAGAGATTTCATTTAAAGAAAAATGTGGAGTACTGTACCGTCTGTACAAGCACCCTTATGTGAATGGCGGTAAACCACTTAAACAAGTCATAGTACCTGAAAAGTTGAGACGCCCCATAATGGAGATAGCTCACGGATCGATCATGGGCATAAAGAAAACAACAGACACGATCCAGGGTGCGTTTTATTGGCCTGGAATTTCAGGTACATACTGACGCTGGTAGATTTTTCGACTCGCTACCCAGAGGCTGTACCCATAGAAAAATAATAAGATGTATTTACCTGTGTTGTAGCAGAGGCATTGGTGGATATTTTCAGCCGTCTGGGAGTACCAGAAGAGATCTTGAGTGATCTGGGCACACAGTTTGTTCTGATTGCATGAGGAAAGTTACTCGACTACTAAGCAACAACGCCCTATCACCCGATGTGTAACGAGTTGAGAGAGAAGTTCAACGGAAGGATGAAGTCTATGCTGAACAGACTGTGTAGTGAGCAACCAAGAAGGTGGCATCGCTACATAAACGCGCTGTTGTTTGCTTATCGTAAAGTGCTGTAAGAGTCCACTGGTTTTTCGCCGTTCGAGCTGTTGTATAGAAAAGCCGTTAGATGACCAATGACTATACTCAAACAACTGTGGACGAAAGAAGTCGAGGAACCTGAAGTAAAGAACAGTTACCAGTACGCTGTCGACTTGCGAGAGAAGTTAGAAGATACCCTTAAACTCGCCCATAGGGCATTGGAGAAAGCCCAGCAGAAAGTATAAAGCACTATTACGACCCCAAGTCCAAAGTTAGAAAGTTTCAACAAGGTGAGAAAATGCTTGTGCTGCTACCTACTGACCATAACAAGTTACTTATGCAGTGGAAGGGTCCCTTTGAAGCTAGTTCAGTAGTAGGCCTCAATTACAACATAGTGAAAGTTAAAGGCAAGGAGAAAGTTTACCATGGTAATTTACTTTAAAAAAGTATTTTGAGCGAAAGGAGATTACAGTCGAAGGAGCAGTAGCTGTTGGAGCAGGTGCTACAAGTACATGTGCGGACGATGACGTCGACTGTTCAGCTAAAGTTGATGAAGCAGAGGGAGAAGAGGTTGATTTTTTAGAGCTCGGTGGATAGTCAATCGAGGATGTTGCAACTAAGCCCAATCGTAAGGACGAGCAACGGACTGAATTTACCGATCTGGCTAAACAGTTCTCGAATTTGTTTACTGAAGCACCAGGGACCACAGACCTCGTTCAGCATCATATTAAACTCACTTCAGACGAGCCGGTTAGATCAAGCCCTTACCCAGTACCTTACAGCATGAGAGAATCACTGAGAAAAGATATTGCTGAGATGGGAGTTATTAGAGAGTCCAGTTCACCTTATATGCGTAATCTGTTGTAGTAGTGAAGATAACACAAACCGCGTGTGCGTTGATTATTGGAAATTAAATAAACTAACCGAATTTGATCCTGAGCCTATGCCAAATGCCGAACATTTGTTCCAGAAGCTTAGTGGAGACAAAAAAATGATCTCCCAAAGGATACTGGCAGATAACTGTACCGGAAGAAAACATACCTAAAACTGCGTTTGTAACACCTGACGGGTCGTACGAATTCTTGAAGATGCCGTTTGGAACGATTAACTCGGCGGCAACACTGAAGCGTGCAATGAAGAAATTGGTAGAAGATTTAGATGACGTCGACTTCTACTCTATGATATATTGGTTCACACCCGCACGTGGGAAGAACATATTAGAGCCCTCAGAGAGCTGTTTTCGAGCCTTGTACTAGCTGGGTTGTCTATCAACAGTAAACAAAAAACTTTGAACTCGATAAAATCCGAATTTTGCGTGATCTAGACCTACAACTGAAAATCCGACACCAGGAACTTATAGTGTGGTGTTTAGCAAATAACCTCCGTGAGAATGAAAAAAATTATGCATGTTTGAATTCAAGTAAAACGAAAAAATAGTTTAAACCTTATATTTTCAAAATTTCCAAGCATCGAAATGTGATGTTAAGCAGCCTTCTTTCGCTATTTAAGATTAATTTGAGTTATTTAGAACTTTTGTTATTAAATATTTTATCACGGCTATTGAAAATATAAGGTTTGAAATATACTTGCGTTTTATTTGAATTCAAACATTCAGAATTGTTTTTCTTCTTACGGAGGTTATTGGCTAAACACCGCACTATAAGTTCCTGTTGTCGGATTTTCCGTAGCAGGTCTAGATTGGGCTAAATTCGGATTTTGTCGATTGTGAAGTTTTTTGTTTATTATTGTCATAGTGATATCGATTTTACTAAAAAGTGCAGTTTGACAAACTTCATTTCATAGTCAATCACTGGTGAAAAGTTTGTAGCGATCGGACAAGGATAAAAGTACTTTTAAGGTGATTAAAAACATCGGTATGGTCTCCGAAAAACTGTTAGCGAAACACCTTAAAAGGAACTCACTTTAAATCTAATTACAACGAGAGAGTAAACAGTAATAACCAAGTTTTTACAGATCATCCTACCCTCAAACTTGGTCTGAATTTTTTTTTCAGTTGCTTTTCCCTCAAACACGCAATTTCTGGCAAACAACTTTATAGTGTAGTTTGTGCTTCTGGTTAGACTTCTAATATCTTGCTGCATGGCCGTAAAATCGGTTATATTCGTATTTTCTATCTCCGTGTTGCCGCGCAGTATTAACACTCTGTATGCTGTAATAGGACTTCCTCCATCGTCAGCTGGTTTTGTCCATCGAACTGTTATGGAAGTTGCTTCAATGGCCACTGTGACGATCGGCGACCCTGGTGCCTCTGAAGAAGAGCAAAATAGTTCTGCACATTATTAAATCAAACCCTCCAAGCTTCATTTTTTCTCGCTATATGCTGGTTGTATAGAAAGGTTAGAAAACGGAAATAAGGAGAAAAAGGAAAAGCCGTACACGACGTAACAAACAAAAGAGCAGGGTGGGTATGTCGCAAAGTTCGGTAAGATGCAAAGATGAAGAGCACTACGAACCAACTAAACTCCCTGAGACAATTTCTAGAAAACTCTAGAGACATATCTTATCCTGTCATTAACATAAAAGACCGATCTCAAGGCACAGTGCTGAGAGGAAAACATTATTTTGTATTTTTTCTTTCAATTGTAATGTAATTTTTTTAGCCTATGGTCTAGCCCGTGAAAAGGAGACAAAGGACAAAGGGACGATAGGGAATTGCCAAAATAATAATTGGAATATAATCTGATCAAGTCCCATTTTCTGTATTTATCTTAGTAGAGCGAACATGCCAAATCTTAAAATACTGGTTGCCTGCATTTCTTCCATTTTCATCTGTGGTTTTTATGGGTATGGGCCCTTTGCACCAAAATAGTAACATGGTGCAAAAACACGTTGCTGAGGAGTGAACGACGCAGTGCACGTGGGTTCTGGAAAGCCGGGGGAATTAGCATTCTTAATGACGTAATTATGTTGTTATTGTTAATTTTGTTCTAGGCCCACTGCGTCTCATGCTCTCCAGCAAGGTGTTTTTGTCACACGTGACTGTTTAGCTGCAAAGGGCACGCACCTTTAAATGCACACTTCAAATGGAAGAAACATATTCAACCATGCAGTGCGCACAGGAAAGAATGACAGAAGGATGAGATTTTTCCTAATGCAGGTATAGTATGTGTATATCAAAAATATGTGTAATCGAAGAACAATGGATATTCCTCTTACTTATCTGCTGCACCAGCACTGTTCTTGTATCAGTATTTACATCATTAGTGGCCTCACATGTGTAATTTCCGAAGTCCTGATCACTGCTCATTAGCACATCTACTATGTTTTTCAAATCTATTACTTTCTTTATTAACCTCCCACTCGGGTTTTTCCATGACAAGATCGGCGTCGGGGCACCATCTCCAGCACACGTCAATTTCACAGTTTGTCCAATCCAAGATTGGGATGTTACAGGAGCGACCGTCTTTACTATAGGTGCGTCTGTAAAATATAACGATGCCAGCGATATAGAAACTAACAAGGAAACGAATATGGCTGAAATAGAATTTATTATCGATTCTTTAATGCAAATCTTAGAGCAGTGCATGTTCATATTGTGCGTTTTCACTCACGTTGTGATTGTTCTCTAACAGCTGTTCCTGGAATTTGGAAAGTTGTGTGCGCGTCAAGTAGAGTGCTTTGCTTACTTATTTTTAATGCTTTCATTCTCAGATGAAAAGAGGCTTATAAGAAGCTTCACACTTCGTAATGTCACACTTTACGGTGTGCCTACTGCTTTCTACCAAGCAACGCATAAAGGCGTTTACGGAATTGACAAAAATAGCCGGTAACTAAGTATCCTCAAAAATAAGTGGCATAGCGTGTGTGCTTGCCCTATAGAAGCCCTCTTGAGTATGAAAAAATATTATTTACGTATACGCCTAAGATGACGTGCTCAATTTTTGCTATGAGAAACACATTTTGCTCAGATTTTCTCCAATGGTCAGAGTATCATTTTTGGAATTGAGCTTTAATTTAAGCCACTCAAACCAACAACAAAAGCGGTGATAGTGTTTCGTAAATTGGAGCCTGAGCCATTGAAAAGTATGCCGGCGTTGTAATTGACTGATTTTTAGCTGGAAAAGAAGACCACAAATTGGTCTGTGTCAAGGAGAAACAAATTTTTATAAAGTGTCCTCTGTTTTTAAAAACGTTTGTTTACTGAATACTTTTGAAATCAAGTTAGTATTAAAGTAATAGCGAAAAATCATTCACTTTTGCTATAGCCGAACAATCCGGCCGAGGCGGGAAAGTTCGATTCCCTTGCAGCAACTAGACAAATAACACAAAAAGACATAAATTGATCACTTCCTGATACAACTGCTGTCAGGTCCACTATATTGAGGCCTTAATGACCAGTGTGCATATAAGGCTTCTCCGATCGCTTGCGAATGAATATTATGTCAGTCTTGTGTATCCTGTCGCCGAACAAAATATAACCATCGCTTGACGAATCCAAAACCATACTCCCCTCTTTTTTATGAGCACTTGTTTATTTTAACTTAAAGCTACCTAAGAAAGACTTTCAGACTCTTTCACCTATGTTTCTGTTTAGTTTCCGTGGATCGTTAATGAATAAAAAAGCACATTTTCACTGTGAGTTTGAGAAAATGAATTTTCTTTCAAACTAGTCGATTGTGAAGTTTTACAACTAACCAACAGAAGCGTTTGCTTTTCTGTGCCGCGCCTTACGAGAGTTTTGCAGTTCATCAAAAAGCAATCATTTTTGTTACAAAAAGAATTCATTGATTAATAAAAGAATTTATTCATGCTTTTCCACTTCTTAAAAATAAAACATAGACATTTCATTCGTTATCTCAGCGCGAGTATACCGATTCTATTCCAAAAACGTTCACAATAACATAATTGCCGGATAGGTTGAACTGGTTTTATTGCTGATATCATAATCTTTTTAGCAACTATGCATGCTTCATCACGGGCACCCTACGACTGTTTTCGGTAAAATATCCGTTCGGAGAAGCAAATATTGACTGAAACCTTCTATTACTTCAGGGCGGCTAAAAATTTCTAGATGACCGTTCCATTCATCTTCGTTTTTCGAAGCTGAACTAAGAAATTACCAACGATTTTCTGATCTTTAATTTTCACATTTAACTTCCCAAGTTAGCATTTTTTTCTACGAAAAAAAGGAAACCTAAACCTTTCGGACTCAAAAATGCGATGGAGAAAGAAATCAGAAAATGTCTCACTTTCGTGATACGTCAAATTGCATCTAAAATTTTCGGGAAGATAATATTGAAGCCCTGGTAATTTCGAAAAGACTCAGGTTCACCTAGCATCACCGAACAGACACAAATTTTACAGCGCCTCGTGCAATGCATTTCTAGAGACGTAAAAGTACTCTGGATAGCCTAAAAAGTGTTTTCAATGCATTTAGGAGGAAATCGTCTTTGGTTGCCCCTGCTTCACGAATTATTTAATCTCACTCACATTGTACAGTAATAAAGACATCATGGACTTTAACGGCAATACCATTATCAACAGTACATCTGTAACCTCCTTCATCTTGTCTCCTGATGGCCAGAGGAAAGGTGATGTGACTGTTACTAGAGAGTCTTGTCCATGTGATGTTTGGAGGTGGATTACCATCAGCTGTACAGTTAAGCATCACCTTATCTCCCTCATTTGCTGTCTGATTATGAGATACGTGTGTGATAGTTGGAGGACCTAACAAGTCAGTAAAAGGATACTATTAAGTGCGGTTGGTAAGGATGTTTTGGTCAACAACCTTTGGGTTTGTTTAAAATCTTCAACGCAATTATATATTAGTTTTATCGATAAAAACGGTTACGTCGGCAATTGTATTGGATATTGATGAAGCCTTATAACGATACGCGTAAAAATGTCATAAAGTCGCCTCCTTAACTGTAGTTAAATTTCTCACCGAAGATACAGAAACCATATGTGCTCATTCAAGAACGAACGTTACAAGATGCAAGCAAGCATATTCAAAGCTTGAGAAAGAAGAACGTAAAATATACTATCAAGTGGCGCAAAGCAAAGGAAGAAAAATCGTATACAAAGATCACCAAGAAATGTAATTTGTGCTTATGGGAGAAATATTTTACAATTTCTAAACCAGGAATACCTTAAACAAAAGAAATGAACAAATCTTAGCTTTCAAAATTTCCCTTAACACTGTCCTAGTTTGATTAGTTATTGACGCAAATTTGATATGTTGTAGCCTGCGAAGACATCCGTTTCTCCTCGCTCTTCGCCTCTGGGGACGTTTCGCGCGGAGAAACGTCTGCGACTCAGCGACAGAAATTCCATACTAATGACGCAAATCAATGTTTACATAATATATCCGGTAGTCATGGGGTTCCAAAATAACTTTCTCCAATTTTGCGAGTCTTCTGGTCGATTTTTGTGAAGTGTTGTGTTCATTTACCAACAAGCTCTAGCAAAACTCAAATGCTTCTTCCAGAGAAGACTATATTCCAAAAATATTGACTGTTTTGTTAGAGATTCTTCGCGTTTACATTTGACCTTTGTAGCCTTTTGTCTTTTGTCTGTTATTTGTAAACAATAGCTAAATTAATGTAACTGCTCCGTCGACCAATCAGCGCTTCTGACCGGATTCCGGACAGATTTCACGTCATCAGTATGGAATTTTTGTCGCTGAGTCGCAAACGTTCCTATGCGCGAAACGTCCCCAGCGACAAAGAGCGAGGAGAAACGGATGTTTTCACAGGCTAGATATGCTGAAAGCATCCCTTATTAATAACTAGATTATTATCATTATAAAACTAGTTATAGCTATCGCTAAGTGCCAACGAGTAAAGATTTTACCTACACGCGAGAGCTGTTGAATTTGTATAGGTAAACGAATGATTTCTAGTGCAGTGTAGGATAAATCAGCACAAGTAAATTTTTCAGACTAACAAAATTGCACGAGTGCTGATTTATCCCAAAGTGCACGAGAAAAATCAGGCGATTACTTGTTAACAATATACAGGCAAAAATTTGACTTGCAACTTGCTCTTTTCCTCTTTTACGTGTCACCGCGCACCGCGTACCTGTTCCCGCCTACAAATGACAACCTCGACTAAGTTTGGTCAAAATTTTGACAGGTCAATATTGATGGACAAAAACGCAACTTGTTTATCGAAAACTGAAGCCTTTTCTCATTTTTTTTCTGCACGTTTTTCCACTGCCGGCACTGAAAGAAATAAAATTGAAACTGTTAACAAGATTCCTTTGTTGGGATGTCCTGTGTATTTGGGTTTTGGTTGAGGAAAGCGTCGCAACTTTGGTTTCATCGATGGCTGGTTTTGTAAGAACTTTCATGCAGGGTTTTTACAGCAGAGTAACGGAGAAAACTAAAGCGTTTCTACCCTGAGTCACTTACTAGCTTCCAGGAGTTGCATGATGGGTGAGTTTGAGTTACTGCATTTTTTCGTCTCGTTTAACGGCGGGCATAATTATTTTAAGTTTCATAGGGTGACTGGTTAGATAAATTTGAGACGATCTATGGCCTCGAAGCCGACTAAAATACAAAAACAAACAGAAAAATGGTTTAAAAAAGATTTCCCACAACACTTTAATCACACTACTTTCTCTATTTAATGAGAAGTGCTTTTGCTTCAAGACGTTTTTCATGTTTGATTGTCAGTCAAGAATTTTGCATTTTGCCATTTGGCTTTTGTTTCTGATGGTTTCTTTCTTGAAGTGTGGGTGGAAATGCGGCGTGAACAAAGCTGAAATCAGAATTACTTTATGGTGCACATGGCTTGTGATTACGTCTGTTTGCACATTCTTCACACTCATGATTACATAAAGGAGTTTTCGATTATTCTGCCGACAGACCCTTAACTGATGACCACCTGAGGTTGACAATCAATTTAATTTTAACTTTCTCCACTCAATTTCAACTTTTTGCACTGAAAATATTTCAACTCTCTGCACTATTTGGGATAAATTGACGTGCTCTCAGCCAATGAGAGTGCTGAAATTTTTGCATGTATACTATTAGTTTAGAAATGTCATGAATTAAAGTAATTTATGAACAATAGATTGACCTTAAAGCGAAAATTACCTTGAAAATAGTGAACTAAATTGTTCTATTGCATAAAGAAATTGAAATCCGGACTTTCCATAGTAATATTGAAATTAGTGTTTTTGTTCGAAATTGCGCAAGGGTCATTTTGAGTAAAATTTAGTGGTCTTATAAGCAAACTTAGAATCCTCGCAAAATCATGTTAAGAGTCCGCTAACATTCGACGTACAGATTTACAAAATATTTGGTCTCTTTTTAAAGCTATAAAAAGGTTGAGTTTGATCGTCCGGGTGAACGTAGTCCTGAATAGGACTGTTGTTGTTGACAGTGACTGACGTTTCGACAACCTGTGCGGTAGTCATCTTCAGAGTCAAAGTGAGTTGTATCACGTCAATTGATGGTATTATACTCTGGTTATTATTGGTCAATAAGTCGTTTGTACGGCGCTGGTAACTGTTGGCTACGATTCAGTGGCGTTTGTTCTAAGTTAGTAAACCAGCTTTCTAAAGTAAGACGTTGATAGTAGTCTGTAGAATACGTTATACATGTCGCAGAGTCCCAGACAATTTGATGTTTCGTCTTTAAATGGCGCTCAGCAATGTGATTGTTGACGTCGCCATTCCTCGTCGCGCGTTTGTGTTCGTTCAGTCGCGTGCTTAGGTTCCTGCCGGTTTCACGAATGTAAGAAGCCGGGCAGTCACAGCATTTGATCTTGTATACTGCTCCCTGTCTGTCCTCCGGTTTGTCTTTGTCCTTGACATTAGTAAGCAGTCGCCGTAAAGTGGTTATCGGTTTGTGCGCAACACGTATATTGTAAGGTTGTAATATACGTCCAATAGTTTCAGAGGTGCCTCTGATGTACGGTATAGTCGCTGTCGTAACAGGGCCAGAGTTGGTCTGAGAGTTGGAATCAGTGTTACTGTGAGTGTTCCGTCTAACAAAGTCCGTGTTGTAATTGTTCTTACTAAAAACGTTGTTAAGATAATCAGTCTCGTCTTGTAGGCTGTCAGGTGAGTCGCAAACTAGTTGCGCTCGTCTCGTCAGAGTCCGGATAGAAGTAGCCTTGCGAGAGGTCGGGTTGTACGAAGACTGGCCTAGTAATCGGTCGGTATGTGTCGGTTTTCTGTAAATAGTCGTTTTTAGTTTGTTGTTGTCGCGAGTGACCAAGCATTCTAGAAAAGGTATCTTACCATTTTCTTTGATCTCCTTGGTCCGCGTTCTGTCTGTTAAGGTGTTCGTGAAAATCGTCGATTCCGTCTTTGTGTACGGCGGTGAATGTGTCGTCAACGTTACGTAACCAAAGAGGTGCAGTTCGCGTGTAGGTAGCTAGGGCTTGTTCCTAGGTGTTTTGCATGACAATTTCTGCTACAACAACGGAAACTGGAGAGCCCATAGCTGTACCGTGTAACTGTTTGTAGTGTTTGCCGTTGTACTGAAAGTACGTCGAAGTCAAACAGCGGTTGAGTAGGTCCATAATGTCGTCTGTAGGTAGTGGTAGTTCAACAGTAGAGTTCACCCGGACGATCAAACTCAACCTTTTGAAATGACTCCTGGGTTCAAACCTTTCACAGTTCTAAAAAAATTATGTTGCGTCCAGGAAGCCTTCCCAATTGTTTTGCTTCAAAGACAAACAAATTCACTACAAGCAATAAAAAATTTCAGCGGGTAAATACGTAGCCCATCACAAGCCTCGGCGTTCCGGAAGTTAAAAAAATGCATAGCGTCTGGTTGCTATGAAGTGACCTAATCATCCAGTTGAGTAACCATCATCGTAACACTCTTGCGGTCAACTACCGAAGCACTCGTAAAGTACTTTAATTAAAACCGTGTTCAAACCCCGTGTAAGAAGTCCGTTCATTTTTGAGTCGATGCACGTCTGACTTTCACGAGGTCAACTTTTGCATAAATTATCAAATATTATGTTAAGCGGGAAATCTACCTACGGTTTGCGGGAAACGGAACTTCTATAGCGGCGCAAGGTAAATGTTTCGAGAGTCAAGGATGTGCTTACAAACTATTCACTATGCGACGAAAGGAGAAATCACTGGCATGATAGCTCATGTAATGGTAATTTTATCAATCCAGGTCGCGACTGTATTCGTCCTAGAACGCTGATACAACCTCGTTTGGCGCGCTTCTCAATAATACCAAAACATGTTGTGGTCGGTAAGTAGACTCAAGGACTTAGTATCGCCAAGCCATTCGAATTTGTATACCCAATTCTTTGTCTGAAGATTCTAGCAAACAAACATACGTTTGGCGGGAAATTTGCTGTTTAGCCAAATCTCCTTAACTCCATGACCATGCACCTTTCCAAATATTGCCCTTCTAATCATTGTATAGGTAGTGCCTCCCTTAAGCATTTGCAACTATTTTGATTTGTATATAGGAGACTGTTTAGCAGTTTCCATTACTTTAATGTCTCGTAAACAACACGTGATACATGTTCTGATCTCCCCCCACCCCAATCCATAACAAAAAATTTTCAGACCAACACTGAAGGTACGTACAAAAATATGACCATCTCAAGGCAAGGTTCATCATTGTAACTAACCACATAAAAGTCTTTTCGTTGTTTACCATCGACTGATTCTGTTCTGAATACTGAGGTCCCACAAACAACGCCACGTTTAGAAAGAGCCTGCCCTTTAACCCAAGTAGCAATTTCACCAACGGACATAAGCCGTAAAAAAAGGACCGCGTCAAATACTTCATAAAATCAGAAACGTCTCATGACACCTTTACTTCACTCTTTCTTCAATAAACTTATGTTTCAAGGATAAATGACGTCAGAATGCGCGATTATAAGCATAGTAGGCTTATGAAAAGAAAATTTAACCAATGCACAGGAAAGCGCCTAAGACGGGGACTTGGGGGAATTAGGAACATCGTGCGTATCGCTGGAAAAATATTGGCTAGTTTTCTGAATAGACACAATTAAAACCGTTTTTGTTCAGTAAGGAGCTGTTAGATCGGGGAAAAGCGACATAAAGTAGATCACATCAGAATGCGGCACAGGACTAGGCACTCAAAAATCGATAAGCATGCAAGACCAATCATTATTTGAAACAAAGAAAACTTGCTTGAGGCAAAAGCTTCTAGCTAGGGAAAAGACTCGAAGGTAGAAAGTTAGGATCGTAGCTTCTTCTCAGGTAACATTTCCTCAGGCCCGTACATGCTTAAGAAAAATCCATAAAGGTTAACAAAAAACGATCTTCTCCATGACTAAAAAAAATAATTGTGTAATGACTGGACAGTGCTCTAAAAGTAAATCAGCGACGATTATTTTTCTATATATTTAAAAGAAAAGCTATGATGACTTCAGCCGTGGTCCCATAAAGACCAAAGAAGCATATATCACTAAGGCACCAAGCCAAGGGAAAATAGAGCAAACATTTCCAATTTTTCCCTTGACGAAAGCACTATGTTACCTGTTTGACACGAACGGGCCTATTAAATCAAGGTTAACTTCCCAAGTGACAAAATCAATCTTTCATTTTTTCCTTTTTTCCAAGCAAATGTGCAGTTACCGTAAATGAACGATTAAACGCTGTTACTCGAATAAACGCCGCTACAGAATAAGCGCCGCAGCGCTAATTTGATTTACAAATAAACGCCTCACACCTTCGTTGGACTTGTTACGGCGCTTGATATAAAAAGACATCAAAACCATATCGCTTGACAAACAAAACCACGACCCAATCGTGAGTTCAAAAGTTTTCATAAACGAGAACTTTCGAAACCAGGTTCATATAACAGTTCGAGGTGTTCATATTTGTCCTTTTTCTTGCCGAACTCTGAGTTCTCTCTATATTCCCCTTAGTGTTTTACCCGCAGTTGAGATAAGCGTCGCTCCCTAATAAGCCCCGCACTTTTAACATGGAAAATGGAATAGGCGCCGCGGCGCTTAATCGATCATTTACGGTAACTTTCGATCTCCGACGGGCATATCGGAAAGACTGAAAACATTTAAACTGGATGAGAGTATAACACATTCAAGAAGAAACAAATTTGTGATTTTTAACAACTCGATAAAATTACTAAAAATGTGTACTCCTATTATACACAATTTTTCTTTTCAATTTCACTTTTTTTACGATGGAGCATTACCCCGTACTCACTAGACATTGCTTCACAATCTCCGTGTTAAAATCAGCGAAACACTCCATTTGCATGGCGTACATTTTGAAGAACATTTGAAAACAATTTTGATTCCTACCCTTGTACCTTCATTAAAAATTAAAGTTGGGTAGTTTGTTGTTTTCTGAGAGTAGTTTGAACAGCCGAACGAAATTGTTTACACGGAGTGGGAAAGGCAAAGCTCCACTTTTCCCTTCTAAGGTGGAACGTGTCAGTAAAACGTGAGAGCCGTCCTTGAGGGCAAAGTGTCTAACCTAATTTTCTCACCGATTGCCAATGCCATTTCATCCAACGCATAACCTCACCTAGTTAACAGAATTAGCAAATGTAACGGGGAAACGTTACGAGAGAGCTGAGTAAGAAGTTAGGGTAAGTTTTGAGAATTGGGCGCACACCTGAAAAATCCTGGCTACGCTCCTGAAGACCCGAAAGGAAAAACCATAGGGCAGTTGCAGACTGAACCACCCAGAAGTAAAAATAGATCATGAAGTTGTCGCGGCAGAGGATGAACTTGAAGGCTTCTGATCAAGTGCAATTTTTCAAGGGAGCCCAGACAAGGTTATGTTTATATACGATGGGCACAGCTTGTTGAACGTCTTACTAACAAGCACATTACCACTACTTGTCTTCAGATTCGTTTTGAGTTTACGAGCAGAGAAAATTAGGACGGTTAGAAAATGAGGATGCCAGAGTGAAGACGCCTTTTGTATGATGACGTCATCGTCCTACAGTAAAAAGCGTTCGTTTTTTGCCACATCAATCGGTACACTTATGTTGTCGAAAGGTCCGTGAGCATGGTGAATGATTTTACATTAAACTGCAGACACATCTTCAGTCACTCCGTGAAAGAACACCCTTATTGTTCGCAATATCGGATAAGCACTCTGGCCGCTTACTGAATTTTCTTTGCTGTTTCCTTTACGCTCGTACAACAACAGCACTTTAGTTTTAATTCAAGAATGGAGAGTAGCCCTTCTACGTTTTTCTAAAAGTCTTTCGATCTGTAGTCTCACGATCGTGTTTTGAGCTAATGTTATGAATGAACAATAACAGATAAATAACTTAATTTCTTGAAAACTTTTATTCAAAAACCCATGAGTTATTCCTAAAAAGAAATTCGCGTATAACACTAACTGGATCCTGGATTCGTTCACGTAAGTTCAATCAGCTGAGCACATGGCAAAAAATCAATTTCAAATGCACATTTTGTGGTTTTTCTCTCACGCCGCTTTCTAAATGTAGAAAACACCCATGAAACCTTTCTAAACACACAAAATTCCTTTTCAAAAACGCACTTTCTAGGACCATAGAGTAAAGAATGTACCTCGCTGCCTCGGTTGGTTCAAAACAAGCCAAGCGCTCTGATCCGCCTTGAAGAAAACAAGGTTAAATTCTTCGAAAGAGAATTTCAAAGCGAAAAGCTCTCGTTTGTCCACAAAAAGGAATCTAAGCACTCTTTTGAACTTTCTCTTTCCACTTGCGTCTTTTATCGGCGTTTTTTCAATCTTGAAATGCAAAACTTTCATAGTCTTAAAAGCCACCACATGATGAGCGTGCGCCAGCCATTTTGTTGACGGATGACACCTACTAAGGTGTCAAATTCGGCGGCTTCTTCCCCACCCCCTATGTGGTCGCCCATTTGACTTTTGTGGGGGAGGAGGTATGTTTGGTTTATTTTGGGCAAGAATTTTTTCCCAAACCTCTGGAGCAAGAAATTTTTTCCCTGACATATAACGGTGCAAGATTTTTTCAGCATTATATACGTCATGAGGGAAATTTCTTTTTCAGTGCAGGATATAATTTTTTCCCGGTATATCCTTGCAAGCTTTTCTCCCTCGAAATCAGTCTAAAGGAAGTTTTTTTTCTGAAATCACCCATAACCTCATCAAAAGTCAAATAATCGGCCGCTAAAATCCACCAAACATTGGCTCAGTAGATAGACTCAGATTTGCCAATCATTTCTAAAGCCTTTTGAAACAATAGGGGACAAAACTCTCTAGGGGAGAGAGGAGGAATTCATTTCTACTCACCCCTACCCGGAAAGTCCGTACGCACGTACGGTGACGTCATAACCAAATTTTCTGGGATGGATAGTTTACCATTTTCGCTTAAGTATGGAGCTCCACGCTCGCGCGCGCGAAGTGCAAACGGAGGTTCCGCTATAATTTAGTCATAGGAGAATAACGGCGCTTTCATAGCCAATAAGTTCAGATCCTACTTGAGCGTCTGACGCTTTTTTTAAGTACAACTTGCGAGATTTGTTTCAGAATGTAAAGCAGAACAAATAAAATACAGATAGGGAGTAAAGCATGAAAAAAAGACTCCTAAACAATTGGCCGCAAGTCAAAAAACGAAGGATGGAATAAAACAAGCGGGTCTAACTCACGCTTCAACAAAACCGTAAAAAATAAGCGGTAAGGCAGACACAAAAAACAAACGATAAATAGAGCCGGAATTCAAAACATGTCAGAATTCTAACAACGTAACGTAGAGAGGATAAAAAATTTAAATTGAGGAATTGTTACTTATTAAATGTAAGAGGTAACCTTTTGGAAAAGAACTTGATTCCCTCACTACTTGATGAAGCCATATTTAGAAATGACCAGGGTTATTTTCGTTATACTACTACTACATGAGAAATTTCTGCAATTTGATTGGCTTAGAGCAGTAGTATTTCAGCTTAATGTGAAATCCTACCTGTGAAAATGACTGTTTCCATGGTAACCAAAATCACTAAGCAAATCAAAAAACAATGGCGGAAAGATTTCCAGATTTTCAAGTTGAAGAGATTCAAGAACTGAAGGAAAATTCTGATGATGTCTGGACCAGCTGGGCTGAAAGCAAGAATTTTGAAATAAATTTGCTTTCTTATGACGCGAAACAACTAGATGATACATTACAAAAGTTCTTCGCCGAGATCTGTGAGAAAGATGGTTCTGAGTACGAGCCTGACAGTTTGAGAGTTATGTTGGCGTCATTGGACCGACCCTGAGAGAAAAGGATGCTGCCTTCTCAATAGCCAAGGATATCGAGTTTTCCAACAGCAGAAAAGTACTTGAAGGAAAAGCAAGGCTTCTTCGTCAAGAAGGTTTCGGAAAAAGGCCAAACGCTGCAAGGGCACTCACCTCTCAAGAAGAAGAGTTGCTGTGGTCCAAAGCAGTGCTTGGAAGCCATTCTCCACAGATATGATACAGACCATGATACAGACCATGTTTGAGGGGCTGCGAGGAGCACCACGACATGTACGTTGAAGATTTTGCCTCCAGTACCTACGACAGTGGTATTGAATTCGTGACTTAAGAGGAAAAACCCACGCAAAATCGCCAAGGTGGACTTCGCAAGAAACGAAGAGTCATTCAACCCAAGATGTTTGCTACAGGTGGACAGTGATGCCTGTAAAATTGTTCAAGACATTTTTGGAACGAAGACTTGAAGAAAAGCGAAACAATGGTCCATTCTATCTTGCCGTGAATGAACGACCAAACACCCAAGTGTGGTATAAGCGTCAAAGAATGGGCGTCAACAGTATTAATTCCTTTATGAAGAATATGGCAAGTCAAGCAGACATACAAGCTCACAAAAAGCTCACAAACCACAGAGCTCGCAAAACCTTGGTGAAGAAGCCGAAAGGTGCAAATCAACCAGGGTCAGCGTGACAGGACATATCAATGAAAGGTCCCTTGAAGATTATGAAGAAGGCGATGAGAAAGAACAGCGACTCATTTCTTCCATCATCAGTGCGGAGTGTGCAACGGCACAATCCAGCAGAGTTCTTCACCCGCTTGAAAGATTAGATGCTGTAAACACAGCTGTGGCGAACACTTTCCTCATGAATGACTAAAGGTCGGCGACCTTTGACCACTTCCATGGCTGTCAAGTTACTATAAATTATAACATCGCAAGCAAGCTGGGAAACGCCAAACAGCAGCAGTAGATGTTAGAATCTAATTCTGAACGACTTTCATTGAGACACACTTTCGAAAACTCAAACTTTGATTAACTTTGGTGTTCTTTCTTTACATGGGTTTGCAATCGATATTGTTGTAAGTTTTGATTTTGGATAACATGATTTTCAGATCACATGTTGTTTACTGTCAATCAAAATACGGGTCACAAAATAAACAGATGGCATAACAAAAAATGTCTCATGTAGCAGCTGTATAAACAAATAATAGTTAACAATTATTCTTTGAAATCGAGGTGAATAGTGGCAAAATATTTACCGAGCCGCGAAAGCGGCGAGGTAAGTATTCCCAAAGCCACTATTCACCGAGATTGAGAAGAATAATTGTTTTAGTATATACACACGAAGTGATCTCAACAAAATCAGAAAGGAAACCATTCAAAAGTAGGATTTGATTGACAGATCAAATCACGCGTAAGTTTAAAAATAGATCTTTGCAGAATTTTCAAACATGGCAATTCACAAGTTTACTCATTTCGCAAACAACAGCGTAATGGCTTCAATGGAATCGCTAAAAGTTTGAACTGTTTCCTTACCTGAGAAAAAAAGTAGAGCTGTGTTGTTTTCTGTTGACTCGCCAAGTTTATAGCCAAAAGGGCATGTTGTGTCGTTCTTCGCATGAAGTGCTGACAAAAATGGCGGCTCGGTTGCTCGAGGTAAGAGGTCGTCTTCCTGTATCATTCTTTTTCCTGTTTACTTGAAATGTAGAATTTCTGCAAACATTTCCTTTTAAATTTGTTTGTCATAAATAAACTTCGATTTTTGAGCCAAAATTTTCTTCTTAGAAAACGCTGAGTTCACGAAACGGCTTCTTCTACGCGAATACACGGGAGTTGTAAACAATCCATCGAGCACAAAACTCTTGCTACAGTAAATTGAAAAACGCCGTATTGAATCCTTCCAAGTCTTTTCTTGCCTTAAAAAAAGTCAGCCCTAGGATTTTGTCGACTTTTAAAAGATCGTTCTCTAAAAAAAACGGGAAAAACACCGAGCTCACACATTATCCACTCGCTAGGAGGTGAATATTGTTGAATAGTCCGAGATAGTAAACCAATCAGATTGCTTAAATCACCAAGATCACTGAGTGTGTATATACTAACATGAATTGTACGTGATATTTGGCATAACTACCTCTCGTGATATTTCAAAATTGTCTCAAATTTCACTCGCCTAACGGCTCGTGGAATTATGTATAACAATTTTTGAAATATCACTCGTGGTATTTATGCCAAATATCACTACAAATCGTGCTATTACCTTTACAAATTTATACCAAAAGGTGAAAAATAAAGAAATCATTATATACTAAATATACAAAGTTCAGTATGGAATAGTTAAAAGAAAGGAACACATGCGCTACACGATGAAACCAAATTAATTTAAAAGCAAACATGGTTACCTTCAACAATCAGATGTACCCCATCATACTGATCAGCATCCCGGACGCTATGAGCTCTTAAAATGCAGAGATAGGATTTCATATCATTTCTGTTGACAGCATTAAATGCAAAGACCACTTGCCCAGAAATCCAAGTTCCAGTAAAATGTCCAGAATATCCTGACTTATGAAAGGTTTTTTCACCAGTATTCTTTAAAGACAAGATTTTTCCATTTGATGTGAAGTCATTTACACCAGTTTCCTTTATCCCCCACTCAATTACACTCGCACTACCTGAAAATGTCCATGTAAAGTTGAAGGGCAAACCATCTCTGCCCTTTAACGTTTGTCCTAAATATGGTCTTGTGAATTTCAAAACAGCTAAAACAGAAATAAGAGAATAACAGCAACAGTTTTAATGAAAACAAACAAACACGCAGAAAATAATAATAATAATAAAAAAACAACTAGTGCTAGAAGAGCCTAAAGTGATAATTATATGCTAAATATATATAAATAATCCACCGGCCTAATACCTGAAGGATGGAAACGCGCAGCCACCACTACCGTTAGAATCATAAATTCATAAATTTATCCAAGTCTATATCTCAGAAAGATTTTCTTTGCTAGTTTCCTTGAAAGCAGTATCAAGGTGACCAGATTTGGAAAGGTATGTTGACACCGAGAAACGCTGTGCTTTGTTTATGCCATCCATCTTGAACTTGACCCATGTAAGAGAATCCAAGACAGTCTTGAATTATGGATTCCATGCCATTGATTCCGGATATTTCCAGGGACTGGATTCCAGTGTTTTTCAGGGGAACTTGGATTTTAGAGGCCAATCTTTAGTGGGATTGGGGATTCCTTGAGCTCTATTCCAGATTCCACAGCCTAGGATTCCGGGTTCCATCAGCAAAATTTTCCCACGTCCGGAATCCACAAGCAAACATTTCCCGGATTATGGAATACGGATTCCCTTACATGGGACGATTAAACACATGATGATGCCCTATAAACGTCTCCCTGGGGGGCTAACAACTTACCATTGAGCTGAATTACATATTCATGTTCAGTATGTAGGCAGGTGCACTCGATTCGCTTATTTTTTTAATCTAAATAATACTACTCTATAAACGAGGTAAAAAATAATAATAATGATAATACAAAACGCACTGCACCCTGATCTTGCATGAATTCATGAGTGAGAAATCTAAACCATAAACTATTTTCGTTTTCATTCCATCGGCTTTGTTGGGTTCCGCAGTTGCTTAGCAACAAAACTAGGACAAAACAAACTTCGCCTGGTTGTTTTTGCGGCCGTTTTAGCGGTGAAAAAATGAATTCTGATGGCAGAAGTACTTAAAAGAGAGAATGGAAGTGATATGGATGACTAGCCTATTAGCTCGTAGTCTGTCTTACTTAGCAGAAACGTTTTATCGGGAGCTCTGTTGGGCATAATTTTTGTTCCTCAAGTATTTTGAGATGCATTTAGTCAGCTGATTTAGTTCAGCTATAAACCTGCAGCTTTTCTAATGTAGCTGATGATAAAGCTAAATTTTACCCCTTAATTAAATGTTTACAACTAAACGAATTTTGCCTAGAAATCGAAGTTAATTTTATTGTAGAGAAAAAAAATGAATTAAGACGTTTCAGAAAATTGTATGTGCCAGCAAGTACAGTACAGGCCACTGGAATTACAGCATCTACACGCGTGTAAATTGCGTGGCGTTAGGGAATAAATTTGGAAGAAGATAGTTGACAAAATAATATTGTTTTATTGAGTGGAATAACATGATATGAGTAGAAATATATTTCGGCAGTTTGATATGTTCTTGGAACTAAATAATTGTTTGGCCATCAACCTTAACGTTTCATGAAACATAATTTAATTGCAGATGTTGTAAAGCCGCGGTTATTTCTTAAAAGCGTTTGAGCAAATTTTCTAGGTTTGGGTGTTTTAAAATGGCGGGACAAAAACGGGAAGTTTTTGCCACTTTTGTTTATGTCGTAATTTGCAAGAAATTGAGTTTTTAAGGAAGCGCGTGGCAAAAGTAAGCTGCAACGAAAGAGTTTTTTGGCCTAAAACGTTACCAAGATGTGAAAAATAATATATTTTCTTCGAAGTTGAGTAAAAGACGTTTATTTATGAAAAGAGAGTGACCTAAGATGCCCCCTTAAATCAAGGAGATAGCTTTTTCTCGTTGTTCCTGGTAAGTACGTGGACATGGTTCCTCTTTAATCGTCTGCCATGAATTTACAGGAACGAAAAGTTACGTCAACTAGAAGTTCTCATTGACAAGGGAAGTGCTGTCGTTAGTTGCGATTCGAATAGGACAAAGACAGTTTGTAGAACAGTTGAACATATGAATTCTTTTTTGTTAAAGTCAATAACTTAGACTTGCTGGCATTATGAAACACTCAGAGCGTAACATAAAAAACAACCAATCACGATAACAAATATGCTTACATTCATATAACTCGCTAAGGTTTCAATACCATTTTGCAATTGATTTTAATAATTCACGAAATTCTAAACCAACAGCAGTGCTGATAGGCTGTTTCTTCATGGAACAATCATCGTACACTGGATCGATGAGATGAGTTGCGAACAAATAACGTTAAGGCCAAAACTTGTTTATTCACAGGTCAGGTAGAAGTACAGCACATGCCGTTCACTTATGTAACTTACAATCCTGATTACCGAGATAACAATCTGTGTAACAAAAAATACTCGCTATGACTAATCTTGAAACCTGAATAAAAAAAATAAACCGAAAAAATGTTCCGTACAATACTTCTTGAACTGTTCTTACCGTTTAGGCCGTTTAAAAAGACAGCAAGCATCCGATAAACTACGATTTCTGCACAGATCTTACATGAGAGCAAAACAAAATGGCGGGTTGCTCCTAAGAGAAAAACAGGCGCGGTAACTAAGCACTTGCTTAAGCAAACCGCTTACTGCACAGCGCTGCAGTCACAGATGACCATCGAACCATAGAACCATGGAACCATGGAACCATTGAACGAAAAATCTCAAATCGCTCAAGAATATGGTCTGCTGCCGGCTGATGCCCGGTAGCAAAAAGCAGATGTTGTCCACTCTACTTTGCTTAACAGAAGTTTGGATTTATGTTTACTTTTTGGTCGTCTTACAACTTTGTTTCGATTTTAAAGCCCGAGTGTGGCTAGTCATCAGATAACGTGAAAATTTACGCGCATATTTCAGTAACATAGTCGCGAGAGCTCGCATTTAACGCGGCTTTGTATTCTGTACTTGGTGACGAAACTTATTTCTTTCCAAAAAAGAAGTCACTGTTCCCAAGAATAGTAATTTTCAAGCATGGTAATGTCAGGAATTTACGTGCGTCAACCTTTTACCATCATATGAGATAAATAAAATGATATATCATATTTCTTAACAGCCAATGTGTCGCAAAATATCGAGAATTTCAAATCAGTTCCAAAAATTCGTATTTTGGCCGATACCTCCCAAACATCCCTTTAGGTCAACTATTTCAAGAAAAAAATGCCAAAAGGCATCAAGATGCAAGTATTTCAAAGCAAGCATTTACAATAGTGACGAACACACTTCCAGGGTCTTCAACAGACGTCCACCTCTCAGCTTTGAGATTACGAAACACGAATTGGTTTTTGACGTTCGTCCAGGATTTGTAGAAATTACTGTAATACCCTCCACCCAGTGACAGTGTTAGTGAATGTTCATCATCTTTCTTGTGATGTAAGGCTCTGTAGGTTACTTGAATAAAATGACTTAAAAACTAGCGAGTAACTGAAATTGTAATCTGTAGTATATGTCAGTAAAAAGATTTCGGTGCCAAATGTTGGTTCTCCTAACTGGGTGTCAAGTTACGTGTATGGTGATTTGAATAAATTACCCTGCAGCCCCTCACGCAATCTTTCCCGTGTACAGGTAAACACCTAATTCTGTACAGTATTTCGAAATCGAAAAAAAAAAAAAACAACAACAACAACAACTACATTGCATAGGCGACACACATGGTAATATATAGATTTAATACATACTAAAACAGTGGATAGTGTTTTTCACGCGCTCTGATTGGCTACCCAATCAGTGATTATCCTGCACTATTCACTGATTCATCTCCGGTTCCTCCGAGCGAGCGACGCCAAACTCGCGTAAGTTTCGAGCAAAATGCCTTCCCGATTTGCTGCCGTAAACAAACAAAGAAATTTCACAACTAATCACGCAAGCTGTTCCCGAAATACACGAAGAAGGTGACAAAGTTCGGGGTGGAAGTTTTAGCAGGTAAAGCCTTGTCTTTTTGACTTGAATTTGTCGATAAAACCGGCGAAAAAGATTTTTCTTTACAAATGCAAATTAAGCTGAAGTTTTGCGTTACTTTATTTAGTTGACTTGTTCATAAATAAGCTTAAAACTAAATTTAATAATCTTTTTTACAGAATTATGTTAAAGACAAAAAGAATTCACAACTCGTTTTGAGGAAATTTCCACGCAAAAGCTAAACAAATGCCTTCAAAAGTTTTATTTGTCGGCAAGAAAAAGAGACGGTCGCGGCCGTTCGGTCATTGCGCGCCAAAATTGTAATCGTTGCAGGCAACAGTATATGAGTTAAAAATCATCATTTTTGTGCTCAATTATCTCACTGTTTTAGTATATACTAAAATAATTATTCATCTCAGTGTCGGTGGCTAGTGGTGAGTATTTACCTCGCCGCTAATGTGTGGCCTCGGTGAATACCACCACTATAGCCACCTCCACTTCGGTGAATAATTGTTATTTAGCCATGGCTAAAAGCGAAGCTCTCGATAAGCGACGAAGGCAACGCCGGAGAATGGTGAAAAACAACATTAGATCTAATTAGCAAAAAAAAGCAACTATGCACGTGCAGCACACTAATTTTGTACATTTCTTTGCCATTGTTTTGCTTCCAGAAACTTCTTAGGCCCAGTTCAGACGTCGTGCTTCTGCCGTGCCAAACTAAATTCAGGAATTAAGTTCGACAAAAGCACGGCGTCTGAATCAAACTTTTGAATTAAGTTCGGCAAGCAATTAAGTTGGACAGGCGCTGTCGTGCTACACGGCTCTGGCAGGGCAGAGATTCAAACGTTGTGCTTCTGCCGCGCTAAACAAAATCAAGAGAGGATAAAGTGGACAGAGAAGGCATCCTCCATACACATCCTATTCCATAGGTAATTCGTCTCGAGTTATTTTTAGAATTGGGATAAGGTTACCTCGCGCGCTGCGTGGATGTTTCGTGGAGGTTTCGCATGACTAAGCGCCGTGCAAAACATGTCAAGCGAAAGCCAATGAAAGCGTTAAGACATCGAGAGAATTTCTTAATATTGAAGCGAAATGAGTAGGCGCTCACCTGGGAAAAGGGAATCGCTTGACTCTTTGACTACCCGTGAAGTTGTCGTAACCTCAGTGCTTTAATAAATGAGAAATTTCGCCGGTCTATTGAAACCGGTCGTTTGTATTATAAAGCAAGTAGGACGCCAAGTGTTATTTTTGTTGAATATTACAAAGACTAATAAAAGAATAAATATCAAACCAGGAATTGCTCTCTTCAAACTGTAAATTATAAATGATCCTGGGAGAATATTCAGTATGTTAAGGGTTTTCCTGCTGTTCTGTTAGCTCTATACTAGAGAGGAAGGGCGATTCTTTTTTATTTCTGTTTCGCTGACACAGCTTTAGCAGAAATCTCTCTTTAGTCGTTTTCGTCGACAAAACAAATGGCAATATCGTTCTCCGCGTCTTCTGCCATTTTTTTCTGCGTCAATTCGTGAAGGACGCGTGGCTCTGAGGGTGAGTCATCCACGCGGAACACATTCGCGCTATGTGATTGGCTGTTGTCTAATCTCCCTTGGGATCTATGGTCTTAAAAATAACTCGAGACGAATTACCTATGGAATACGGTGTGTATGGGGGATGCCTTCTCTGTCCCCTTTATATTCTCCTGACGAAATTCATAAATTATATTAATGTATTTTGGCGAGATTGCGTTCCCACGGGGAGTTGGGAGAAGAATTGTTACGAGGCATCAGTAAATCCTGAATTTGGTTCGACTCCGGCACGACGTCTGAATCAAAGTTTTTTTCCTGCCTTGCTACAGTAGAACCAGATTACAATTAAGTTTGGCACGGCAGAAGCACGATGTCTGAAATGGGCCTTAGTTACACGCTTTATGGAGGAAACGTTGTACGTGTTCTCGTTCACTTTTTTTTCACTGCCGCTTATTTTCACCTTGCAGGGTGGCCGCTAGAATTTACCTTTTTGTCACCGCCGCTACAAAATTTTCCTGTTGTTCTTCAAACAAAAAAAAATGTCTCCTTTGTTGTTTATCTCTCGCTCTAGACCTCTGTCGCCCTTTTTCTCGTTGAGCTTCGCTGGACTCCCTCCTAATTTCTCTTTTTCTCTGCCTTTCTCCTGCTCTATATTCCAAATTTGTATACATAACAATTAGTCTAAACTAAATACTTTAGACAACACGGAAACAATTTCCGCTTTCCGTTTTCGTCTTTATTGACTCTTAATAAGTTGTCTCTGCTTTACAAGACGCCGGTGGCTATGCGATTTCCCGCCAAAATAACCTCGAGTTGCATTTGGGTTGCCATACCTGTTGATTGAGTTATTTTACATTGGTATGCCTGTGGTGCGGACAGACGGTCTCTAGGCAGGCAGTCGGTCGGTCGGTCGATGTACGGTCACGTGATTACCAAATTACCTTGGATGGGTAGATTAGTTCATTTTCTTACCCATGGTGCTCTGCTATAACCTACAGCGTTTACAACGCCTTGCGTGGAAAGAAAAAATGTTGTGTACTTTTTCTACTCTTGTTGATGGAAGATTTAAATGTGGTGTTAGCCAGGAATATCCTACCCTGGGTACCAGAGGTTCTCGCGTTCAACGAGGAGCTTTCGCCGGGTGTCGGCAGTAGGCTAAAACGTCTTCGGCCGAAGGCCGAAGACACGAGCGGCGAAGCCGCGAGAAAAAATCTCTGGCGCAGAGCGCCTTGATTTACCGTGCTAGATGGACCTTGACCTTGTCTCTAATCCGTCAATCAAACCGGCGGTTTCCTACGGTGATCACATATACAAGCACGCGGATGAAATGGCAGATCTGGAGTTTGTTACAGTATCTGTCACAGCTGTCAGTTCAGATCGTCCGAAATGGCTTTCACGGGAGTCAAAACAACTTCCGTGAAAAAGTTTCCCTCTTCGAATTCGTCTTAATGTAGAGTTTGTGGATCGCAAGTTTACGTAAATGGAGGTTTTTACAGTGTAGTGGCTGGAAAGTTGGAAATAGAAAATATATTACAGAGAATTGCACAGCTTTTCGGGGTGGAAGACGATAATGTGTCTGTCGAACCACATATTTTGTGCAAGAAATTGAGCGATATGAAGCTACAATCAGAGAGTTAAGTTCTTTCAGAGAAACATATAAAAGCAACTTGGTTCGCTGGAAGAACGAAGCCCAAAGCCAGAGAATAAAGCGTTGCAGCAGTTCTCCCGGACACGGAGTAAAAAAGTCACTTCCTTTGCCGTGTACCGGACGAAATGTGCGCAGATCACTCAATGTGGCTCCAGAAATGACTGCAACTACACCAAATGTACCGGCAGTCGATGAGGATGCGAAAGAGAATATGGAGCTTGCATTTACACGGGGAGGCGTAGAGGTAAAATAATTTATATATCTTTGTTTTTTACCAGTGCTGCGGCAAAAACATTTTTTGGAGACTAGAAAAATTAAGCAGAATTACATGCAATTGCAGGTGGAATTTTTCCCTCAAAATTAAAACGAGTATACAAAAGTATAAAGGATAATTGATACCAAACAATTAATACGATCACTATCGTTAGGAAATCATATCTGTTATCATCATTGCGCGTATTTTCAAGAGACTGGCGAGGTCAAATTAAAGTTTTTTTTCTTAGAGCATGCATGCCAAACAATTCTGGTTTTGGTCAAGGCTTTAGAGGTCTTTCCTTAAAAAGAAATTTTAAACCTTTTTATAATTTAATTTTGCAGTTGTATCTGGACGAGGAAGTGATGTGAAATTTTACAGTTTTTCAACAACAATTCTTCCAATCTATTTTAAAAAACACATATTTACGTGGATAATATTTCAGATTATTAGGTGATACTTAATTATGAGTGGCAAAAGGATTCGTATTCCCAGAGACGACATAGATCGTAAGGCTATTAAACAGCTTGCTTCGGGGCAGTATGGTTATGCTGTAAATGCCCTATACTCAAAGCAGAGCTGTAAGAGATGAATTGCTCCAGAAAGTCTGTAGCAGCATCAACGATGAATGTAAGGAGTTGTGTTCCACCAAGAGTCCATCTGTTTTGCGGGATGTGTCTCCACTGGGACTGAGGGAGTTCACAGAAACTACCCATGGGGCTGAACTTGCCAACCGAGCTCCTGTGTTGCATGCTGTATTGTCCTCTGCGGTTGGAAGAAACCCTACAGTCAAAGAAAACCTTGCTAATGTACAAAAGGACAATACAGCAAGCAAACAACCTGACAAAATTGTGCCACCAATTAGCATGGCCACGTCACCTCCATTCCCCAAGCGTACAGACTTTGAACAGTTTTATGGCATAGTGGAGCCAAGAAACAGGTTAGTTAACTAACATTGACTGATTGAGTTCACAGGAAACCAAAAGGGAGATCTGTCATCTTACATCGTCATGTATTGGAATATCTTATTTTGTTCTTCATATGATTTTTCTTTGACCAAATAATATCCGTACTTTGCCTACCCGCTTGCAGAGGCTACATTTTCACTGTTAGCTGGCGTGCGAAAAGTAGCCTCTGCTAACAACCGTTCAATCCGTCCAGAAATCTAGACGGATAAATTTTAAAAAAGGAGTTTGTTCCTGTTCTTAACCGGTTTAGAGCATTGCGTCATTTTTGCGTGGCAGATCAAAGTTGCTGCAATTTTTTTATTCCAGGGAAACTCACTCCATTTGATGACAGACCTGACGATTAATTTTGCTTGCGAATCACATGATGAATTTCGCGCATTCATGACAGAAAATTGAACGGTTGTCAGCAGAGGCTACTTTTTGCACGACAGCTCACACAGCGAAAATGTAGCCTCTGCTCGCAGGATATACCACAGGGAACCCACACAATCTGTTTGTGTAGCCGATTGTTATTTCATAGTAAATGTACTGGATTTACCGCTTGCTTCACCTATAGCGATATATCGCTAACTATGTATATAAATCAATGATAAATAAACGTTGAATTACCTTACCTGTGGTATATAGTCGTCCTTTTACCTCAAAAGCGGTTTGAGATGAATTGATGAATTTGAGTTCGCCGTTGACTGTTCATATATGGAACAGATGACCCTGGAAACAATATCAGAATGCATAGAGGAATGCGAGGCTCCCCTCGGTGGTGGTCATCTGAAGCAGAAGGTTAAAGGTCACCTACACACTCACTTAAATGAAACTGTGTATAACGATTTGTCTAAACAGTTGGCAAACATTGCCACTGTTGATTCCACTAAGTTAGACGAAGTAAGGCTGCTTCAGGAGGAAATTAACTCTAACGGGCCCAGTGGTTATCAGATCATTGGAGACAACGTAGATTTAATGATCACAGTCCGTCATAAGGCCAGCGACAAGCCAAACAAGAGCATCCACTGGTTCCACTTAAATACGGTGAAGGACCGAGTCAATGCGAGTGGGTACTCTGTTCTTTCATTCCTACTCTGTCTGTGATGTAGGAACCATGTGCAGCAACATGAATGTTACTAATCAAGTCAATGCCAAAACATCCAATGTACTTGATAGTTTTAATTACTGCAAAAACTACGTTAAGCTTGAGACGGATGCCTTCATTGTAGCCGCAACAATGAAACATTTTGAAATCACGAGTTTAGAGGATCCTGTTGATCAGTTCATTCCTGCGTCCATCCTGCAAGGAACACGAAGTACCAGACGACTTTGGCTTCATGAGCAAGTAAAGGCAATCTTGAAAAAATATGTCATGGATGGTCAAGAGCAATTCCACCAGTCAATGAAGTGATAGAAATGAATAGGCCAAAAGTGTACCACTGTAGTGTTTGTGGCAAGGAGTACAGATATGAGAAGGCGCGAGATAACCACGAAGCCAGAGTGCATTCTGTTAACACCTATCCTGTGGAAGAGGCCAGCAACTCCTCCAACACAGCAGAATCCCCATCAGAAGAACAAACCCCACCAGCAGAACAAACAACAGATGACAGGTACAATTATGCCACTGCACTCTTGAATTTTGGCATGATTGTGTTTAATTTTGATGATGCAGTTAAAGAGGGGGATGTGGAACGGATTTTAAGGTGCTGGCAATTTATGATGCAAATTTTCCGCGCTTACAAGCACACTAAATGTGCATTCGCTGCATTGCAGCTATTCTTTTTTTCTTTTTCTTAAATGGAATAGAACAGTTAATAATAATAAAGGAGGAAAGGGGCAGAATATCTCCTTGGATCTAAGACTGGAACATTTGAACAATCTTTTGAAAGAGATGTTAAAATACCTTGGAGTCAATGTCACACAGAAATCAGCTCAGCGATGCAGTGAGGCAATATCAGCACCAGAAGAAATTTTTAAGAAATATGGATACTGAGCTGGGAATTGATCAACCCAGTGGACATCATACTAGTGCTAACGATGACAAAGATTTCTTGCTCCTTGTCAAAGAAATACAAGAAAGAGGTGATATGTTCACCTTCACACAAGAACGAAAGTACCAGAAAATATCAAATTTCAACAGAAACATTTTGGGTGAACTTGACTTTGGCCAAATTAATAAATGGATCAACACCCACAAAAAAGAATTTTCTCGTCTGCAGCAGTAAATTGTGATATCAGGTTATTTCTTTAACTTATCTACCCAACCCATTAATGATTATTATTCTAAGCTTAGAGTTGCAATGCTAATTTTGTACTTTCATGCACCTTAAGTCAAGATTTCTGTTAAATGATTGGCCCGTGGTTCAGAGAACTTGTAGCATACTATGAACTTTGCATTGTACCTTAACAGTTTATATCAGAGTAGAGTATAAGACACGGTACCCCGTAAAAATTGGCCAGAACACAACAAATGGAAGAAATATTGAACTTTGATGTAACTAAAATCTAAATTTGTTTAATGATTGGCCCATGGTGTCACGGAACTTGTTGTGATATACCCCATCCGTTAAGGTTTTATCTTTTTTAAAAAGTTTACATTGAACATGGGTATAGACACGGTCCACCACTCTGTAAGACTGGTAAAACAATTCAACAACAAAAAATAGAAAGATGGGAGACCTGGTGTCGAAGCCGACCATGGCGGACGTGTTTCAATCGCGCCGTTAAAATTACTCCGCCTTGGTCCCGAATATGGCCAAAATATGGCCAAAATTTAAATTAAAGCCGAACTTGAGCGAATCAAAATCAAACTTTCTGATTTTCAAACTAAAAAAAAAACACCTGGTGCTATTATAAGAAGCAGAGCCCGCTGGTATCAGCATGGAGAAAAAAACAGCAAATATTTTCTTAATTTAGAAAAATTAAACTACCGGCGAAAACATACCGTAAAATTCCGAAAATAAGCCCCTCCAAATATAAGCCCCCCAAACCGGTAACGCAACAAACCCTCCGTTAAATCGCCCTCCAAATATAAGCCCCCGGGGGCTTGTACTTGGAAAATTACCCTCAAATACAAAGTAAAACAAAGCAATTACGGTAACGTTATATCCAACTATAAGGCTAGCCCAATCGATTTTGAAACGCAAATTTCCCTCCGTAGATAAGCCCCTCCGAATATAAGCCCCTCCAAAAATAAGCCCCTCAACAAGGGCATTTGAAAAATATAAGCCCCGGGGCTTATTTTCGGAATTTTACGGTATATCATTTTTGATTAACCACAACGGAACTAGGATTAATGATCCAAAAGAAATTGTTAATGAAGAGCGGAACCTCTTTAAAGAATTGTACTCCTCTAGGAATGTAGACCCTAATAGTGAGGAGTTCAGTGATTTTCTTTAATGCAGATTTGAAACTACCTGAAGAGATGGCCAGCACTTGTGAAGGAAAGATAACTTTAGCTGAATGTACAAAAGCATTATCAATGATGCAAAATAACAAATCTCCTGGCTCTGACGGGCTAACAACAACAATAATAATAAAATATTTATATAGCGCTTATACTTTTCAGTGCTAAGCGCTTTACAATGCTTCAAATATATATATATATATATATATATATATATATATATATATATAATTTGCACGGGCTCTCTTGCCAAGAGAAGGTGTCTAGGTTCAGCATGCTTCTCATTCCCCGTAACCAAACCTCCCTTGCGGTTTCGCACTGGAAATTAAGGATGGTACTTATGGTTGAGTACCGATCCAGCCGTCTCGACCAAAACAAGCCACTTTCCGGACCGGTTTCGACTTTACTGTCTTCTTCAGCGGATTTTACAGTTTCAGCTTGTCCGGTCGCTTACGCGCCGTTGGTCTTATTGCATTAACTATGTGTCACAACTCTTTATATACCATAAATTGACAATTACGAGTATGACGTGGGTATGGCATCAATAGAAATCTGAACTGACTGGGAACGATCCGTAAGATAAGACTGAAGCCACGAAAGCGCTTTTCCTTTTATACCAAACCATAAATTGACAATTACGTGTATGACGTGGGTATGGCATCAATAGATTGATTAATGAGTTGTACTTATTTTCGTGCACAATTCTTTGGCGTTTTTTTGTGTTAACGCGGATAACTTTAAATCTAAATGTTTTTTTCTCTATCCTTACAATTTGAGGCTAGCTTGTGCTACTTTTTAAGTTTTAACTTAATTGCCACTAAAGAACCGTCTTTCTCTGATTGTATAAGCGGTGATGTCTCTGCTCTTGCGCGAATTTTTATTACGTATATGACGTGGGTATGTCGTCAATTAATTAATTAATGATTAGTTGTTTTTCGTGAGCAATTGTTTGGCGTTTTTGTGCATAACGCGGAAAACTATGACTCTTATTGTCTTTCTAACCCCACATTTTGAGGTTTACTTGTGCTGCATGTGTCTTTCTGCAAACTTGTCTGTCAGTCAGTAGAGAATTGTTCCTTTCTGATTTTATTGGCGTTGGTGGCTTTAATCTTTGGCGTAATTCTATTCCATTTACGTATATGACGTCGGTGTGGCCTGCAGTTAATTGCCTATCGAGTGGCTCTTCTTTTTCGTGCACAATTGTTTGGTGTTTTTGTGTTTAAAGCGATAAACTGTGAATGTTAATGTCTTTATATCCCCACATTTTGAGACTTGCTTATGCTGCTTGTGTATTTCTGCCAGATTGCTTGCCACTGGAGAACCCAAGCGGACCCAACACGGACCCCTGGGGTACACCAAATCCGAGCGGACGAACTGAAGAGGTAAATCCATCAATCTGAACTGACTGGGAACGATCCGTAAGATAAGACTGAAGCCACGAAAGCGCTTTTCCTTTTATACCAAACCTGGATCGCAGTCTGTGTAACAATATCTTATGATCGACGGTGTCGAACTCTGCTGATAGGTCTAGCAGCAAGAGAACGACGCATTGTTTATCATCGATTGATTTCAGTATACCATTTTGAACACGTAGAAGCGCTGTCCCACAACTGTGGTGTTTCTTATAAGCAGACTGGACACTTTCATTCAGATCGTTATCACACAAATAATTCGTCAAACGCGTGGCTGCAACTTTTTCAATAACTTTAGACAAAAACTTCAGGTTAGATACAGGTCGGAAGTTAAAAAAGATTTCAAAGTCTAGGGACGGTTTCTTCAGCAGAGGAGGCAACACGCAATTCTTCATGGAACTTGGCATTGAAGCTGAATTGAATGAAAGGTTTACGACGCCTTTAATAATAGGTAGTAAATCATCGATACAATAGCGTAAAAGAGAAGCATGTACAGGATCAAGAGAGCACGATTTGGCGGCGATTTTTTTCACGAGACCAGAAAGTTCATCCTCTGAGGTGGGAGAAAATTCGCTTAATTCACATGTAATTATGGCGTCATCAATCATTGGAAAAGCAGGAGCATCAGTAATAGAGAACGTATCCAGTTGATGCCTGATTGTCACAATTTTGTCACAGAAAAAGTCAGCGAACTCATCACA